ATTTAAATTTTTTTATTATTTTGATTATTTTTACTTTTTTTTAAATCTCCCCCTTTTTCTTTCACATTAAACTAGATTGACACAGTGCAAAAATTATGTCCTTAAAGACGGTGAGGAAAAAGACAATAAAATAGTTAAGGCTAATTACAAAATTTAAATAAAAAATGAAAAAGTAAATGAAAAAAGAAAGCAATAGTAGACAAAAGAGTTGATAGATATATAGACTGAGTCCACTTTGTAAGTAGACAGGGGTTCCAGATCGACGACGTTAATTAGTTAAACAGTTACACTGGTCTCTTGCTATTTTTCTCTCTCTCTTTCTCTTTTTTTTTCTTTGTCTTTGTCCTACGTTGTCTATAGATTTTGTAAATTTTACCGTGTTTTTCGTAATTTGTTCTTATTTTTGTTATCCTTTAAGGGTTAGTGCGTGTGCGTAAGCACAATGTTTGTTAGTGAATCTGGTCTATGAACCTGATCTACATGTGTGTTCGTTTGTTTGCATGTTGGTCTGCATGCAAATAATATATTAATCTGTGTGTGTGTTTGTGTGAGTTTATATATATATATATATATATATATATATATATATATATATATATATATATATACCATGTTACTCCAATTCTTAAAAGCCTTCATTGGCTTACTATAAAGAAAAGAATTAAATGTAAAATATGTATTTTAATGTATAAAACAGTGCATGGCTTGTTACCAAGTTATTTGATAGATAAAATAAAGGAAAAGTCTATCATGATGAGTGGTATGAACCTTAGATCAGATGATGGCATTTTGCTGGTTGTACCTGATGTCAATCTGCAGATAGCATCAAGAGATTTTGCAGTGTCTGGACCAATGGTTTGGAACAGCTTACCGAGATCTTTTAGAACTAAAGATTTGAAACTTGATGATTTTAAAAAAAAACTTAAAACTTACTTATTTTCGCTTTGATTTTGTTGTTAAGTGAATATTTATTTGTTTGTTACTACCGCCATTGACTGTATTTTTTTTCTTTTTGACTTTGTTTGATTATAGATAGCGCTTTTGAGAACTTTTTGATTTTAATTAGCGCTTATAAATGTTTCATTAATAATAAATAATATATATATATATATATATATATGTGTGTGTGTATATATATATATATTTATATTTATTTGATGGGCGGCGCGATGGTGTAATGGCTAAGGTGCCATTGTTGATTCACAAGGTTGATTCACGCGCATTTATGCACTGTGTCTTTGTTGTAATAATGATAATGCGCCTCAGTTGCTTGCCATGGCGCTATATAAAATGACATTATTATTATTATTTAAGAAATATCACCGCATTTTCCGCATTGTTGAGTTTGTAACTAAGTTTTTCAATTTTTCGAACCATTATTTTATCGATATTATTTAATTGATTCAAATTAATAAAAAAATTTCTAATTATTTTAAACTGCATTTTTCATATATACCTTTACCTAAAAGCTTTTTTCGGTAACCTTTACCATTATCAGTGTAATAAATTTTGTGATAATGTTATATGTGATTATAGGCGCATTATCATTATTACAACAAAGACATCTGGTATTTATAATATTTTTAACTAAAGAACGTGTTATCAATGCTCAAAAATCAGTGGCGTGCAATGCATTACATTTCTCACAAAATCTTTTTTTGAAAATACACAATCACTAATTGCTTGCAAGAAATAAATTTGAAGACAACAAGGATAGACTCAACTTGTGGTATAAATATTTTCCTACGTTTTCCGAGTCGTTTGCGACAGTTTTAAATAGAAAAAAGCAAAAACCTCAAAAACAACGAAAGTAGCACGGAAACAGTCGAAAAAAACGTTGATGGACTTAAAAAGTTAAACATCATAAAATTTTAGGCAAAAACTGAAACAGTTAAGCTTATAGTGAATAAAACACTTAGGTTTCAATTAAACATCGGAAATTTTGCTGAATGCTCCAAAAACGATGTAAACGAGGTGTTGATATTAAATGGGATTATCCCAGTTTCATGCACTCCTGTTTTCAGGTCATCAAATGATGGTAATAAAACAAAAGTTGAAAGCGCAACTTCTACCGCATTTCAAATTTATACTGATGACAATATACAAAATTTTAATTATTTTAATCGACTTCCATTTGCCAGTAGATATTATTATTCCAATGAGTTAAACTTTTTGAAATCAAAAAAATGTTCACTAATGCATTAAAATGTCCGGAGCACATTCAATAAAACAGATGACTTAAAACTTCATATTAATGAATGCAATATTAATTTTGAAATTATAGTTTTAACTGAAACATGGCTCAAAGATGATTCCCCAACAGTAATTCAAATTAAAAATTTATTTTTAAAACAGAAGTGATTAAATTTGAGGTGGAGTCGGAATGCTCATCAAAAACAAGTCAAATTTTTTTTTATAAGAAATGATCTTAATGTTAAAAGTATAAATGCTGAAAGTATGGCCGTTGAAATTTTAATGTTATTATCATTGTCATTTACAAACATCCTGTTTATGATGCATTCTCTTTTGCCGACCAGTTGGTTAATTTAATTAATACAAATAAAGATTTAAACAACAAATCAATTTATATAACTGGAGACTTCAATATAAATCTCTAGCCCATGACAATACAAATTTCGCTCAGTTTTTTTCAAATAGTATGTATTCTTTGACTTTATGCCATAAATAACTAATGCTATAAGGATATCTGATCATTCTTCCACGCTTATAGATATTTTCACAGAACAATTTAATCCATTTTCAGAAATTATATATTCAGATATATCAGATCACTTGCCAATAATAATTTGTGTGTGAGGACATTAATACAAAGCAATCGAAAAATGGTTTAAAAATTCAACCGTTTTTAACAAGGAAAGATTGGTTAGCTGTAAATACGAATCTAATACGAGTAAATACGAGAAATACGAGTCATTAACCAGGAAATCAGTTTATGATTAGTCAAATGTTGATGATGCTTTTAAAAATTTGATTTGTACTATAAATTTATTTATTATTATTAACGGGGTTTAAAGTGGTTCAGAAGATTATAGTCTGTGTAAGAACCACTAATAATTAGATCTCTGAATATACTATCTGTCCGAGTTTGGCTTTGAAGCTGTTGAGTGAATTCACAGAGACTGCACCATCGCTTAGCTCGTTCCAGGCGTTAACCACTCTACTGTTGAAAAATCTGCTCTTTATTTTTCCATCCGAATTTTTGAAAATCTTAAATCTGTGTCCTCGTAGTTTATCACTGTTTATTGGCCTGAAAAATCTCGAGTATGGTGTTGTTTCTTTGTTCGTGATCCCTTTCTTCCTCTGTCGATCGTAGTTCTCTTTCACCAATTTTAAATTCATACCAGCGTTCTTCCTTCCTAAGTGCATGAGTGCCTATATGTCAACGTTGAAAAGCATTTGCCAGTCCTTAGACCATTAGTACAGTCTTGCTAGGTCTTTTTGCAATATTTCCGCATCTTCATCGTTGTTGACTTTCGCACATAATTTGGTATCATCTGCAAACTTTGAAATCTTAGAGACTATTCCTTCGTCGATGTCGTTAATGTATATCACAAATAATAGCGGCACTTGTTACGTCTATCCACTTCAAGTTTATTCCTTTTATCCGTACTTGTTGTCTCCTATCTTTCAGCCAATTTTTTATCCATTGGAGCAGATTTCTTTCTACCCCAAATGCCTTGGATAACCTTTTATGAGGCACCTTATCAAATGCTTTTGCAAATCTAAATTTATTACGTCTATTGAGTTATCCTGATCTAGGTTAACATAAACATCTTCAAAAAAATCCAATCGGTTAGATAGACAGGATCGTCCCTTCATAAAATCATGTTGGCTATCATTGATTATGCAATTAGAATTTAAGTGCTCGACTATACTCCTGTTGACAATTTTTTTAATACTTTACATATAATGCAAGTTAAACTAACTAGTCTGTAGTTACTAGTTTCGCTTCTACGTCCTTTTTTGAACAATGGCGTGACGATAGCTTCTCTCCAATCCCTTGGTATATTTCCTGATATTAAAGAGTTATTAAATATGATATTTCGCAAAGTGTGGCTCCTACATGTCTTATTTTCTTTAAATATTTTGCGTGCAACTCATCTATTCCTGAAGTTTTATTCTCTTTGAGACTGCCTAGTATTTCGACAACCATCTCTTCTGTTATGTAAACACTTGTACGCATCCTTTCTTGGCTTCCCCCAAACAATTTTTTGGCTCCGTTATGTTATTTGTATTTTCTTTTGTCAACACCGATCTAAAGTAGTTATTGAGCATTTCAGCAATTTCTTCTTCTTCCGTTACAATCTTGCCTTGTTCAGTCTTCAGAGGTCCCACTTTATCTTTCCTTTTTTGTTTGCTTCTCATGTAACTGAAAAAGCTTTTACTGTCTTTTTTATGTTCTCACTTAGTTTTTCTTCATATTCCTTTATTGTATTCCTGGTTGTTGCCTTTGCTAAATTTTTCTTTCTGATATATCTTTTCCTTGGTGCTTCTAACTCACTCTTTGAGATATCGTTAGCATTTCTGAGATATCTCTGTCTTAACTCCTGCATCTTTTTCCATGCTTTAAATTTTGATTTTCTAGTTTTGTGTACATTTTTATTTATCCCCGGTAGCTTTTTTTGCTTCTCCGGATAGTCGGTATAGTCTCTTCACTAACTTTATTCATACAGGACACTAAGGTTTTTCATTTATTTTGCACTCCCAAATCTTTAAATCGCTCTGCCAAGTTCATCTCTATGATTTTATTTCTGACCTTGTCGTAGTTTGCTTTGAAATAATTGTAGCGCTTTGAATATGCCTCGACTTCTTTTTCTGCTCTAAAACTATGTTGAATCTAAGTATCCTATGATCGCTCGTTCCAAATTCTTCTCCTACCCTAACTTCTTCTGTTATGTTCTCGTCTGTTGATATTATTAAATCTAATATATTTTCTCCTCTTGTTGGCACCATCACATGCTGAATAAGGAAGTTTTTGTCTATGCAATCCAGAAACAGTTTGTCTGCCAGCTTTTTGCCTTCTCTACGATTCCAGTCAATATGGTGGTTAAAATCTCCATTATTACGTAAGGCACTTTTGTGGGATTTCTGATCAGTTCACGTAATCCGCTGTCATTCTCTTTTGTTGAATCTGGTACTCTGTAGCATACTCCTACACACAGTGTTTCAGTTTCGTTCTTTATATCACACCAAACGGTATCTTTAAATTTGTCGTTTTTCAGGTCTTTTCTTTCTAGAGCAGTCAGTTTTTCGTTTATGTACAATAACACTCCCCCGCCCTGTCCTTTATCTTTACTGTGTTCCCTGTTTTTTCTAAACATTACGTATCCGTTCAGTTCTATCTCACTATCTTGAATTGATTCTTTTGCCCATGATTCAGTTCTACCTATGATATCGGTTTGTTCATTCTCTATATATAACTCCAGTTCTGTTCTTTTATCAATATTTACAATACTTCTTGTATTTACACAGAAAAATTTCAATATTTCAGGTTTGTTTTTTTCTTTTTTATCGTTGCTTTCTCTGCGTTGTTACCAGTTGTATTTAATATTTTTTCAGCTTTACAATTCTCATACCTCCTGGTAGACCTTTCACCTTGAAAATAATTCCCCCGATGTTTCTTTGCTTTGTTTAATTTTTGACTCCTTCACTAGCTTTCGACATTGGTCTCTTTCTGTTTTTGTCATATCGTGCGTCACCGATATTCTTCTAAAATTTTCGTCCGCATTTCGGAGTTTTGACAAATTTTCTAAAACTCTATAATTCAGTGTTCTATCGAAAAATTCTATCAAAAGAGGTTTTCCATTTTTTCCTTCTTTGATTTTTCCAAGTCTGAACACACTTTTTACATCCGTATCCGTAAATGAGGTTTTCCATTTTTTCCTTCTTTCATTTTTCCAAGTCTGAACACACTTTTTACATCCGTATTCTTGCATGGAACCTTTAACACTTCATTTAAAAGAAACATAACAGATTTTCTGTCGACCGTATTTTTCTCTTTTACTTCTCACGCTTTGTTTTCTGCCAATTTATAGATGACGATGATTATTTTTTTTGCGTTCTTTTCGTTTTCCTTCTTCTGCATTTAGTTCCACTTTCTCTTCGACACTTTTGACTTTTTCTTGCACCACTTTCACACTCTTTGTCACACTTCAACACTCTTTCTGACAAATGTGGTCCATGTCTCTTTGTTGGCTTCAATCGTTTTCTTGATATTTTTTTCATCTGTTTTTTTAATTTTTTGCATGGCATGGCACTGTTTCCACTTCGTTTGACATGACCAAAGCACCGCAGACGGTGTTGCCGGCATTCGTCCTTTATATCATCTAAACCAGCACGACGCAGGATTTCGGTAGATTTGATGTGGTCCTTCAGACTAATTCGTTGCATCCATCGGAGCATTTTCATGTCGGTTCGTTGAAGTTGTTGTTCCAGTTTGGTTGTCATTGGCCATGTTTCTGCACCATATAACAACACCGGACGTATCACACATTTATAAAGTCTTGATCGTAATGGTAGTGGGATGTCACGCCGCATCATTATAGAGGCAAGGAGATGCCATTTATTCCATGCTGCACGTATGCGTGCTCGAACGGCAGCATTAGCTGTTCCAGTACAATCCAAAAACAGTGCTATTTCGAATTTGTTGTTAAGGATTGGTGCAAGCAGGACAAACAAAATTGGAAGTACCAATTATTTTTGAACAACGTTTGTGACACCACTGGTTACACTGCTGACACTTGATTGAATTGTTACCAACACCAGCTTTAAAAACTGAACATGGCCATCGTCCAGTAGCTGTGGATTGGATGGGTTCACCAATGTTCATTGCTTTGGTTTTGCTGATGTTGACTTTGAATCCATGATCGGCGAGTCTGGTGTTCCAATCTTCATACATCTGTGCTGCATTTGCATTCTGCTCAGACGTGGCCGTTAAAATGATATCATCAGCATATATTAGATTCCAAATGTCACCAGTGCATATCGGTTTTGTGATTTCTTCCATCACAGCTATAAATAATAGTGGACTGAGAATCGAGTCTTGGTGAACTCCAACGCCGATGTCAAATGCATCTCTGTTCCCAACCGTTGTGCTGACAAGAGTCTTTGTATTCGTATACATTTCCATCACAAGTCGAACAAGATATTCTGGAATGAGTTGTCGACGTAGACTCCACCTGATTGCTTCACGGGAAACTCCTCGATCAAATGCTTTTTCAAGGTCTACAAAATGTGTGATAGTTGTTAATGCTTTGCGAGGTACTTCTTTTGCAGTTGCCGAAAGATGTGAATTGCATCAATTGTTGATTTTCCCGCTAGGAAACCAAATTGATAATTTCCGATTGTGATGCACGACGTTAATCTTCTCTCAATGATTATCTCGACAATTTTCAGGGAGTGTTCTAACAGACGTATACCCCGATATGATGAACAGTTCAATGGATCACCTTTGCTTTTGTATGGCGGGACTGTCATGCTATAGTTCCATTCAGTCGGCATTGAGCAATTTCTCCAGATTAGTAACGTTTGGATACTTTCAGTACCAGATGCTTTGATAATGTCATTTGTGAGTCCAGAGGGCCCTGCTGCTTTTCCATCCTTCATAGCTTTCAGAGCTTCTGTAATCTCCTCTACAGTGATATCTGAAATCGGATCTTCGATGGGTGGAGCGTCAAAGTTAACATTGATGGGATTTGTTTCGTTTAACAGACGGTTGAAGTATTCTCTCCACTGTAGCTTGATCTCATCTTGTTCAAGAACCATCTCATTTTTGTCATTTTTGATACATGAGGCACCAATTATGCCTTTTTTCGTATGCTTTGATTGTTTTGCTATACGATACAGAGATTTAATTTGTTCATCTTTGCTTTTAGTGAGCCACTCCCTGCACTGATCTGTCCGAGCCAGTGCAACTTGACGTCTTGCATAGTTGTTCTTCTCACGGAAAATTTTATGGTCATCAACAGACTTTGATTTTTGCCATTGCTTGTATGCAACTTTCTTTTCAGCTATTGCATTTTGTACACTGTCATTCCACCACCAAGTGTCACGTTCATGCTGACGTTTTGTACCAGTTTTCCCACAAACTGTAGTTGCAGCGTTTATCAAAACTGTTTTGTATGTACTCCAATCTGTACAGGCTTGCGATTGTTGGTCTAACTGTGTGGCGACAATCTGTTGAAATTTTTCTCGTTGAATATTGCTTTTCAGCTTCCACGTTTTGATTCTCCAAGGCATTTGTTTAGACTTATGTTTTGACAGTTCGACAACCAGGTCTGCCACAAGGAGTCTATGTTGGGCGACACATGATTCGCCAGGTATAATTTTGACGTTTTTGAACAGCCTTCGGTGTGGTTGCTTGACAGCGAAGAAATCAATTTGCGTCCACTTTTGTATGTTATGAGATGTTCCAACCTCTTTCTAAAATTTGTGTTTAGTAAACAAAACCCGTGAATTTCCGTTTTCCATAGCCAAAACCGCCATGTACGTTGTCAAAACCATCTGTTTTCTCTCCAACGTGGCCATTGAGATCGCCTCCAATCAGGATTGTTTAAGATTTTAATATTGTTGAGATGGTGTCAGAGAATGCAGTCCAGAAGTCATTTTTCATCTCTTCTGATTCGCCTGTCTGTGGTGCGTATGCAGAAAAAATAATCATTGTTTGCTTTTCTATGCAAAGCTTGATCCACATGAGACGTGAATTAATCCTTTTAATATCCAGTACTTCTTGGGCTAGCGGTTTTCTGACAAAAATTCCAACACCATTTTTGGCCGTCTTTTGACCATTCCAGAATAGTTTGTATTTTTCTTTGTCTGAGTTGACACGACAGACACCATTCGATTTCCATCGGGTTTCCTGAAGGCAGCAGATGTCAATCCTTCTACGCTCGAGCATTTCTGCGATTTTCATGCTGCGGCCAGTCAGTGATCCAAAGTATTTTTGCCATTGCTTGTATGCAACTTTCTTTTCAGCTATTGCATTTTGTACACTGCATTCCAGCACCAAGTGTCACGTTCATGCTGGGCATGACATAAAACTGCATCCACGCTGCCTTGCGTGCTTTTGAGCAAAAGACTAGGCCCACCGCTTATAACTGATGATTGTCGTCAGGATGGATGTCCGGATGTAAAAATTTTCCCTAAATTCCCTGGTTGCAGCCAAACCGCTTTTTTTGCTAGTAAGCTGCACGTAGCGCTCAGCAAAGGTGCCCGGAACGGTAACGTCCCACGCCAAGCACCTGCCGGCTCTCCAAAGAATCAAGGTACACCCGTCAGGGCGCTTACCATCATGCGCCGCAATGCCCGACGGTTCCTTTAAAACCGGAATTGAAGCGTTAAAGAAAAGCCGGCACACAAAATCGTTTATAGCTGAATGTCGCAGCTGGCGACCTCCGCCCAAACGACAAACAAGACCATGATGGCCGAGTTCATCCGTCTCCGTGCCGCACCTGCATGTGTATTGACTCTGAACGGCCAACGCCAGACGGAAGCCAATGGCTGTCCTGACCGTTTTGTCATCCAATCTGATACCCACCGACGTATTGGGCAAAGATCTCAGCTAGCTACAACTCGCCTCGCTGGATACTGCCAGCAAGCGAGCCGAGGTTGCCGAGTCAGGGCTTGAGGCAAGCAACTCTTTGAATGTGCGTTTATATGCTTTCTCCAAAATGTTGCCCTGGGAAAGGTCTGTTGGTTGGAATGGAGTCGGTGGAGTACAGTGTAGGCTACAAAATTGCCGAAGAAGGGCAGACTGTAGGTCAAGCGTGGCAGATGCAGAAGATTTGTAAACAATTGGTGCAAGCTGAACCACGCTTAGTAATCCCAGTCCCCCAAATCGTACCGGCAGCTGAGCCTGAGACCAACCCTTGTCAGTAATATCGACGTTACAAATGGCTGAGAGGGCCACCCGCAGAGCACCCTCGAATTCGCCCAAAATGGCCGCATTAACAGAGTTGGATGTGCGCAAAAAATACATCAATTTCGGCAAACTGAGGGCGCCGCGGATAATTTTCAGCGCGTCGTGGACCGGGAGAAGAGAGACGCGTTCGAAGGCAAACCTTAGCTCAAAAAGTTTTTTTTAAAAAACTTGTCCTGATGATCGCCGGCCATCATTGGAGTGCCTAAAAAATTTAATGATGAATGGGGCACTGTGGGGACATTAGCCAGCACATGTGGCATTTGAAACGTGTCATTTACAAGTAGTTCACACTTGTTTGTGTTTAATTCAAGACCAATGATATAAGCGCCGACCCTCAGCGACAGGAAGTCGTACGCTAAGATGTAACCCTCTGCGGCCAAACTGATATCGTCCAGGTAGCCACAAACAAACGCCGAAGATGACTTCGTCAACAGTGGGTGAAGGGTTAGAACAAAAAGCATCGGTCCCAAAGGATCACCTTGCTGTATACCCTCGCACGATTCCACCACCCAGGCGTCGTAACCAAGAGAAGAGACTCGGCCATATGCGGAATGACAAAAATTATAAATTTGAGGACAGTGCCGCTTAACTGCCTCTAACATTGAATCTCTTCTCAGGGTGTTGAAAGCGTTCTTGAAGCACCTCAGCACCACCCTTCATGCCGACGCCCAATTGGATAGGATAGAGTTTGGCTTTGACCTGTTCCAACACTAGCGTCAGAGCGCACTTACTGGCCAGCCTCTTCCAGAAATTCCCCACCGCGATGGGTCTGATCCCTCCAACTTTTTTGTTTGAAGCCACCAGACGGCCTCCAAAAAGAAACGGCTAACCGCAGGAAGGCAGACCCCAGATAACAACAAATTTACAAACCGGGTGAGGTTATTTAACAATTCATCGGTGGGCATCGGACCGGAAAGTAAATCCTTTATGTGCTGAGGCCTCAAGCCATCAAGGCCTCCCGATGAACCATTATTAAACGACTTCAAAGCCGTCAACACCTGGGCTGGTGAAACGCGACCATTAGACGGCTCCTGCGCGGGGAAAGCTCGCCTGTTCAATGGAGTACTGGGATGAATAGCTTTGAGTTTAGCAAGTGTCTCAGGCGAGCTCTCCGCCTGGCCCACGGGCAAACAAGCAAGTCTGACGGCCGCCGAGAGACTGCCCTGTTCGATCCGAGTAGTAACTGCACTAATCCAACTGTTTGGATTGTGCTTACGCGGTTTGGTGTTGTGGTCAGTGTTGAAGCTTGCCACAATAATCTCGACCTCGGTCGAACTGAATTCGGCCAACTGTTTGATAACGTAATTGGCTTGATTAATCCTGCGACCGCCCCTGGTGGGCTTGAACAATGTATGTATGTATGTATGTATGTATGTATGTATGTATGTATGTATGTATGTATGTATGTATGTATGTATGTATGTATGTATGTATGTATGTATGTATGTATGTATGTATGTATGTATGTATGTATGTATGTATGTATGTATGTATGTATGTATGTATGTATGTATGTATGTATGTATGTATGTATGTATGTATGTATGTATGTATGTATGTATGTATGTATGTATGTATGTATGTATGTATGTATGTATGTATGTATGTATGTATGTATGTATGTATGTATGTATGTATGTATGTATGTATGTATGTATGTTTGTATGTATGTTGAAAAAAATGGCGTCGAGACCGGTCAAAATAAATGAGCTCCTTAATTTTGTTAATAATAATTCAAGTTTATTGGAGGAAGAATCATTTATCAATAATACTAGTGAATTTTTTACTAATGACGATAACGTTTTAGCAATAAAAACATTAAAATGTAAACAGACTCACTAAAGTTAGAAAAAATGGAAAAATTTCCCTCGCGCGAGAATTCAAAACGTGAGAAACTTCTGGAGTGCTTGACTTTATTCAGGTATATAAAAAATAACAATTTGTTGGATAAAATATCGTTATTTTGCAGTTCTGATATAAATAAAATATCAAACACGGAAAACTGGCTGAAAATAAATTTCGACTTTGTTAACAAACAAATAAAAGAAATGTTGTTCAGTCAACAAGCTGAAATTAACAAAATGTTTTTGTCTTATACTACCGAGTTGGATAATGTGAAAAATAAACTTAACTCTCTTGTTGCAAACAATGTTAGTAAAAAAGTAAACATTAAGTCAGTAAGCTCAAACAATGTAAATAACCCGTTGCCACCAATTAATCAAAATGCGCCAAGAATTTTGTGGGCGGACGTCGTATCATCACCCACTCTGGACGAAGCGTTCACGTTGGTGAAGCGGCACAACAAACGTCCACGTTTGAACGTCTCATTGGAGGCCAACAACAACGGCGAAACCACTTCAAACAACAACAACGTGGGAACCACTTCAAACAACAACAACGAAAACACGGCAAACATCAAGACAGCTAAAAAAACAACAAAAGTTATTGGCAAAAAAGTTATTGAAGATTGTAAATTGAGAGCAGACAAAAATTTAATTAAGAAATCTGTGTTCTCAATGAGCAACCTTAGTAAATGCCATCGGAGAGATGTGGTTGAATTCTTGACATCTGTTGGAATTAACGTCATAACGTGTTATCCAGTTATAAAAAAATCTGAAATGTCTTTAGAAAAAAATTTGGACAAAGATGAGCAAGATCAACGATGTTTAGAGTCTGCATCGACAGTTCAAATTCAGCGGTGATGAAGGATCCTGAAATAATGCCAAAAAATATTTTTGTTCGTGAATGGCGCTTCAATCAGAAAAAACCTGATGATGTCAATGCTAAAAATGGTTAGCACAATTTTTGATTATCAACTTGATAACATTGAAGAACATCTGTCACAAAATTCCACTATGTTTGATGATGCGAAATCTGTGAACGCTACATATCATTCTATTATTTCTGATAAGATAAATGTCTGCCCAATGTTAAAAGTCATGCATTTAAACATAAGAAGTCTAATAAACAAAATCGATGAACTACATGACTTTCTATTAAACTTTCCTTTTAAATTTGATGTCGTTGCAATGGCGGAGACGTGGTTAAATGACGAGAGTAGTATTGAAATTGATGAGTACCAATTTGTTGGAAGAAATCGCTGCGGTAAGCGTCGAGGAGATGTTGGTTTTTATGTGGAGACTGGATGTTTGTTCAAGATTAGAAAAGATCTAAATGCTATTGGTTGCAAAGAATTATGAAAAGTTTCCAGTTGAAATAATTAATAAAAACAAAAATTCGATTTTGATAGTTTCCAATCGCCCTCCTCAAAATCCAAATTATTATCTCGACCAATTAGAACAGGTGTTACATACAGCAAGTAAAGAAAATAAATTTATCTGTTTATTGGGAGACTTTAACATCAACTTAACTTCCGCAAACGATGACAGTAATAAAACAAATTTGTTAAATCTCGCATCAAATTACAATTTATTCCCACTCATCACAATTCCAACAAGAACCAGCATCAACAAGCAATCAGTAATAGACAACATTTTTGTGAATCATCTAAAACTATTAAAACTAAGTGGCGTATTGTTGTGCAACTTATCTGACCATTTTCCAATCTTCGCATTATTTGAAGAGGCAGACAAAAGCAAAGCAAGTGTAAATGGTTCAACAAAAATGAAGTTTTCATTTTCAGCAAATCGCCTGCATAGATTGAATGAGTGCTTGCAATCTTTAGACTGGTGTCAAGTATTTGAATGTTTCGATACAGACATGGGCTTCGAGCTATTCATCAACAGAATCCGAACTTGTTTTTACAATATCTGCGTTATAAATTCACAAAATAAGAAAAAGAAACTGGCGAAAACAAAACCTTGGTTCACTGGAGAAATTAAAAAATTAATAAAAAAAAATTGCTATTCAAAATTTATTTGAAAAATCCATCTCCAGAAAAATTATCCAAGGTAAAACGTTAAGACAGTTTTGTACGAAATAAAAAAAAAATTGAAGCCCAAATATTACATGGAACAGATCGAGCAAAATAATAATAATAGTAAAAAAACGTGGTCAATAATGAAGGAAATTTCAAAAATATCAGTCATAAAACTAAATCTCAGTTAACTTCAAACGAACAGATTATTGAAAATCCTGCAAATTTTTTGAATGAATATTTTGTCAACATAGCTCCAAATTTGCTCAATTCATTTCAAACAGACAAACAATGGAAAACTTTTCTTCGCAACAAAACATCAAATTCATTTTTTTGTCTCCATGCATCTGCAGATGAGATAATTTCCGCAACCAAATTGCTGATACCAAAGTCGTCTAGCGGTTGGGATGATATTCTAACCAAAATTGTAACATCGACAATTCACTCCACCACCCAGGTCCTTGAACACATCATCAACCTTTCCTTCACAACCGGTGTTTTTCCAAAGTGCCTCAAAATATTCAAAATCATACAAATACAGAAAGTTACTGGTAATAATGACGTTTCTAACTTCCGACCAATTTCACTTGTACCAGCATTCTCAAAAGTAATTGAAAAAATTATGCACTGGAGAATAATTTCGTTTTAACAAAAAAATAACATCATTTCATGCCATTTCGGGTTTCGAGAGAAACATTCAACAAAACTGGCCATCATCGAACTGATAAGAAAAATAGGTAATTTAGCAGAGAAAAAACATTTCATTGTAGGAACATGCCTCTATCTGTCGAAGGCATTTAACTGTATCGATCACGACATCCTGCTAAGCAAGCTTGAGCACTACGGTATAAGAGGTACGACATTGAAATGGTTCAGGAGTTATCTGTCTGGAAAAAATCAGTTTGTTTGTTGGGGAAATGAAAATTCAACATTACGACACAATGGTGTCGGGGTTCATCAAGGAAGCATCTTAGGACCACTGCTATTCATCATCTTCATCAACGATCTACCAGATGCAACCGACTACTTCGATTACGTTTGCTTTGCTGACGACACAAACATTTTTGGAAGCGGGGATAATATTGATGATGTTATCGATCAAACCAACGCTGAAATAAAACACGTCGTCAAATGGTTCAACTCCAATAAACTGACTAAACATTTCAAAAACGCAACTGATTGTCTTCGGACCAGTGCAATATTTAAATTATAAAAAACGTATAAAATTACAATCAACAACCAAAAAATAATCGAGAGTAAAACAATAAAATTTTTAGGCGTTTTATTAGATCAGTAACTAACTTCAAACCCCATGTCAATTACGTTTCAAACAAGTTAGCGAAATCTATCGCAATAATGAACAGAATAAAATTTTACCTTCCGCAAAAATGCTTAAACATGATCTATAACGCCATCTATCTACCTCACGTGACGTACTGCAATGTTGTTTGGGCCAGTGCGTATCAAACGACCACAAACTCCGTCAAGATGCTGATGAAGAGGGCAATGAGGGTCATCAAGCTGTCCAGGAAGCAAGCGCACACCAATCAACTATTCGTTGCCACCAACAATTTAAATTTTGACAAATTAAATCTTTATTTTGTGGCAAATTTTATTTTCAAGCAACTTACAAATAGGCTCCCATCAATTTTTAATAATTATTTCATCTTCAATAAAAGTTCTAGACAAGTTAAGTATTTATTATCAAATAAATCAAAATATTCTGTATTCGCATGTTGTATGTAAGGGTCCTAGAGTGTGGAATCAAATTTTGAAAGTTGGTTTTTGTTATGAAAATTTGTCTGCAATCTTTAAAAAGAAATTAAAATTGTTTCTGTTGTTGAATGACCAACCGTAAATCAATATAGATCAATGAATCAATGAATCAATCTCAATCAGTCAGTCAGTCAGTCGGTCGGTCGGTCGGTCGGTCGGTCGGTCGATCGATCGATCGATCCATCAATCGATCCATCAATCAATCAATCAATCAATCAATCAATCAATCAATCAATCAATCAATCAATCAATCAATCAATCAATCAATCAATCAATCAATCAATCAATCAATCAATCAATCAATCAATCAATCAATCAATCAATCAATCAATCAATCAATCAATCAATCAATCAATCAATCAATCAATCAATCAATCAATCAATCAATCAATCAATCAATCAATCAATCAATCAATCAATCAATCAATCAATCAATCAATCAATCAATCAATCAATCAATCAATCAATCAATCAATCAATCAATCAATCAATCAATCAATCAATCAATCAATCAATCAATCAATCAATCAATCAATCAATCAATCAATCAATCAATCAATCAATCAATCAATCAATCAATCAATCAATCAATCAATTAGCTTATAAAGCGATATTTCCGCAATGTTCAACAGCGCTCCTCAAGGAATTTTGAAAACAGATGGGTCTTGAGATCCGCTCTGAACTTCGCAAGATATGGAGAACTATTTTTCAATTTTTATTTGCGCCTTGATTGCCATTGTTTAGTTAACATTTCTGTTTAGCTTTTAGAACAATGTCGTTCTATATATTGCTTAAATAAATAGATAACTATGCAATGTCTATTAAGTGTTTTTCCGAATAGATACCAAACATTATTCTAAATTAACCATGAACCATCGTACTATAACATACTTACATTTTGTCATTTATTCATTTTGTTTGAACTTAGAACATTTTTGGTTAGGTGGCCATACTAGATGAATTTTATATAAATTCTAATATGGTCATCCTGCTTTCTTTTAATTTTAAATTTTGAGAAGCAAATAAAATTTCGTTTCGTTTCGTATGTATGTACGTAGGTATGTACGTGTGAATGTATGTATGAATGTATGTATGAATGTATGTATATGCGTGTTTGTATGTGCATGTAGGTAGGCATGTTCCTATATTTTTATGTTTGAGTATTTGTGTGTATTTAAATAGTTGTTTTAGTTCTTTTGTAATCCCTCGGTCATCCTATATATAATCCTGGTCCACTGTTTAAAAGGCTCAAGTTTAGCAGTTTGTTTATGTTGAAATGTTTGTTTCAATGTCACTGTTTGTTTGTTTGTACAGATGTATGTATGTATCTGTGTGTGTATATGTGTGTGTATATGTCTGTGTGTATGCATGTATAAATTATTATTATTATTTCTTAGATATTCCTCAGAGGTTATGAATTAAAAACTTGAGTGAACCAGAGCATTTTCAGTTTTTTTTTAATAGAACAATTTGTTTTAGACGAAGAAGTAGATCGTTCCAAATTTTTGGCAAGACCACTTTCATACATTTATTACCCAGCTTTGTCTTAGTTCTAGGGACTACCATCAATTCCCAGAAAATCGATAGCATGTCTATCTCGGATCTTCTATGAAAAATCCTCCTTCACAGTTAATTTTAGAGGTACCACCAACACACACAAACCAAACACACACACACACACCACACAAACACACACACCCGAGGATTTCCTCGTACTAGAACCAGGTCACTGCAACACCAGGATAGGATCACACTTTATTTCATCTCGTGACCTATGTATATTTGTATTGTGTATTCGTATTAAGTTGAACAATTGTATTGTACGTTTGTACTAAGATGTGTAGTGTATTGTATTGTATTGTATGTGTATTCGTGGGCGCCTTTATTTATTTAGTTGCAGGGCGAGATAGCAATGTGAAAGTTTTTACGTTCTTTCAATTCCAAAATTTTTTTACAAACTACCATCTATATTTTTACTAACTTTTTGTTAATTAATCAAATCACTTTTAATCTATTTAATTTCAAAATTATTGCAATCATATCAATTCAATTTTAAAAATTTTAAAAACGTCTTTTAATTTTTTAACAAAACGAACAAACAAACAAATAAATGAAAAATAAACAAACAAATGGTTATATGAAAAGATAAATGAATGAATGCATTAATTAATTATGAATGAGTAAATAAAACAAATAAATAAAAAAATAGAGCGAACGTTCTTATAAATAAGCGGCTGTTGTTTAAAACATTACCCTTGTTATTTAAACATTTTATTTCTACAAACCAAATCAAAGAAAATAGAATCTAAGAAATGAAATGAGTTATGGGTACTATTAATAGTTGAAGTTGAATTTTGTCTTGTTTTGTTTATTAGTTCTGTGTTCTGTTTATTTGTTTTAATATGTTTTGAAATTTAATTAAAATCATAACCAAGTTTACTGAAAGTCATTTGTTAAAGAAATTAATATCACCATTGCCTCCATCATTCAATCGAACAGACTTTCATTGTATCTTTGAATTAATTTAAGTGATAAATGGCGTTTGTATGTGTGTATGTATTGCTGTATGTATGCATTGCTGTACGCATGCATGTTTGTTTGTATTCATGTATATATGTATGTATGTGTATGTATGTATGTAAGTATGTATGTATGTGTGTATGTATGTATTATTTTGAATTTGATATATTTTGAATCTTTGGAAAATGGCGGAAGGAATAATTGTCGAGGTTAAAAGCGATAAAAAATACGTAATTGATACGTTATTGTGTTATCTTTGGTATGTTTGAAACCAGATAAATGAAAAGGAAATGAAAACATCTCTTTGCGAATTTTTTGAAGTTGACGATGTAAAAAAAAGTGCAAAGTTTTTGCAGCATGAAGCCAGCACATTATCGCTCAGCCTGCCGGAGTTTTCCGAAGACGTTGACAAAAATAAAATGTGGGACGAATTTCTTAGTATATGTCGGTTAATTTTTGAAACTAAAGTCGAAGACAAATTTCCCTGTTTTCTCGCTGATGACTTGTGGAAAGTAAGTAATTGTGACAATAGATTCGAGAAATTGTCAGCTGAACAGGTGAGGTTGCAAAAAAGTGTTATTCAAAATAGTCCGGTCGTTCTGGAATTTCTTGAAGAGCATGGCAATATACTGAGTGATGTCCAAAAAAAGGTGTACAGTATCGTGTGCAGTGATGCATGCGCTGATGGAGATTCAGATGCTGAAACATCAGTCACTAAAAATTTGTCTGACATTGCTGAAGAAGGTAACAACGATGGTGAAAATTTTATAACAGTCAGACGCAAGAAAAGAAGAAACATTTTACTATCAACTAATACAAGTCCATGTTGTCATGCAATATCATAGACCACTGTTGAACCTCATAGGCCTACGCAATATAAAATATCAGCTAGTAAAGTTGTATATCGGAAAAATTTTATCACATTGGTAATATTTCAAAGACTTGTGCATCCAATGTTGTTGACCACCTTGAGTCAATTGATGTTAAAGTTTTGTCTTGCTACACTGTATTCAAGAGGAGAGATGACAAAATAAAACTTGATAAAACCCACCCTTCTACGTCATTCCGGTTGTGTGTAGATGAGAAGTATGCGGAAATAGTTGAAAGATCAAGTTCTTGGCCTGATTATGTTCAGGTTAGGAATTGGGTTTTCAATAACAACAGCAAAAGTGGCAGCACCAGAAATGCCGATGTCAATGTCAGGACATGTTCTGATGTGAAACGATGATATGGAACTAGTGTCATGTTTTATTTGCAAACTTTAAATTTATGATTTGTTAATTTGACTTAATTTTTTTTCATTTACCCGCTTTTTTTATATTATGCAAGTATACATTGTATATTCGTTTAATGTACATTGTGGATAAACTGTTGACTTTTGACAATCATTTCTTTAATTTATTGTTACTGGATTTTGAGAGTGCCTGTGAGATTTCATTTAATAGGCGCTATACAAATGCATTAAATAATAATAATAATAATAATAATAATAATAATGTATGTATGTATGTGCGAGTCTTTGGTTAAAAACAATAGCCATAAAGACTATCATTTAGTCCCGACTCACTAGTTTATTATGTTGGTCCTAGGATCTCGCGCAGCCGGGCATTTGGCGATATTTTCTAACATGCAAAAAGAATTAAATTTTTATAATAATAAAGAAACATTTTGTTTCATATACATCTTATCGTTTGGATCGCCTGACACTTTGATTATTTTAGTACTGATATTGTCAAAAAAATGTTGTGTGACCTTATCAATTGGACCAAATGTTTCAACGCAAACCGGGACAAACAATCTTGTGCCGTCATTCAGATCAACATATTTGGAATTTTTAAAATCAGGTTTCAATAAAGTATTGCTGATATACCTATCTGCCAAAGTATGTGGGAACGTCACGTCCCACGTCAGACAACGACCATCAGACCATGGAGTTAGTGTGTATCCTTCTGGTCTAATATTCCTATCCAAGATCAGACTGGCTGGCTGTTTTATGGCTGGTATATAAGCTTTTTGGAAAAGTCTAATCAGATAATCATTCATTGCTGAATGCCTAGCCTGCCCGCCGGATCCAAACTTACATGAAAGACCATGGTAACCCAAAGAAAAAACATAGGCTCCGCACAGACATCTGTACTCCGAAACCACTGGTAATCCCAATCTTAGACATAGATCGACTCTAATAGAGGCGTTGTCAAGTCTAGTGCCGCAAGCAGTGCTGGGTACTGCCCTAAGCCACACAGAACCCAAGTCGCTTTTAACCGCCATCAATCTGGCTTTATTTAGAAGTGAATCATTCATTTTTTCTAAAAATATTTTGGATTTATTCAAAAAGGGTTCATTCCACTTTCTTTGAGAACAATTATCAATATTGAGTACATCGCCAAAAATGGAGCACCACTCAGCAAACGTTTCTTTCCTTAGGTGGTCTTCATATAACTTTGCTACTGGCAACATCATATTTTGAAGGGTCGCCGTGGCCGTGGCAAAAGACAAAAAAGCAGACGGTGCCAAATCAGCCACGACGCCCAAACCCAAACCGCCCATGCAAATGGGCAAAACAGCCTGACACAAGCCTTTATCACCAAATGGATTGAAACTCCATACGAAGTTCGCATTCGAACATATCCAAAATTTGTTTTGACGGATTAGAGGAGGTTCTTAAAAAATATGAGAGTTTCGGGATAAATGCAGCTTGGGTCAAAAGGATGAAAACATCATGCTTACTGATGTGCACCATCATCGATAAAACATATTTGAATTCATTTTATTTTTTGACCCAAAAGTCGTCATGACGTTTACCCCTAAAAATGACGGCTACTAAAAATTGGAGGTCAATTAATTCAGTTTTATTAATGTTTTGTGAAAAATTTGTAAGTAAAGTGAAAATAGGGGTAATTTCGCATTTGTTGATGTTGAGCTTAAGCCCATATTAATGGCAACTATTATTTATTAAGTCAATGTCGTCGTTCAAAACCTCCACACAACTTCCAAGAGCGATATCATCTAGATATGCGACAACAAATTTTTAACGGAGAGATTTTATTAAGGGGTCGATAGACAGAGTAAACAGCAATAGGCCCAAAGGGTTTTCCTGCTGCACACCCTCAGCCGACAAAATCTTGTTATTGTCAAAAGAAAAAAATTAATTGGCATTGTAGGCCAACCAACAAAAGTTGTAAACTTCGGGGAGTCGCGACTTTACACAATTGAGCATGTGATCGCGACGGAGGAAATTGAAGGCGTTGGAAAAATAAAGTTTTAGAAAACCCTCATTCTCTCCCATGTTGCCCACAAAACGTCGGACTGCATGTATTGCTTCCTCTGCTTCTCTGCTAACCCCAACACCAACCTGCTGGGGTTGAAGAATTGGAGCTACCTTCTCTTTTATAGTTAACAAGGCGCATTTTGCTGCCCAGCGTCTCCTCACACAGCCCACTTAAAAGCAGATTGATGAAACTGACTCAAACCTAAAGATGGATTTACATAATAATAACTTAGTGAGGGTCTGCGTTTATTACGCAATGTCAGAAAATCACTAAACACGTCTGTTCTTCAAAGTTCGATTTTCTCTTTCGTTTTTTCCAGACTGGACTATTGCAATAGTCTTTTTTATGGTGTCACCAAAAGGTTTTTTTCAAAGCTTCAGTCAATATAGAATCGTGCGGCCAAGTTGGTTTTGGTTAGTTCGAGGTTTGATCATGTTACGCCTATTTTGAATAAGTTGCACTGGTTGAGTGTTGAGAAACGTGTTTTTTTCAAGTTAGCAGTTTTGATGTTTAAATGTGTCAATAATGATAGATTGGAATCATACAAATCTCATTTTTCAAAATATTCCTTCCGATCAACCGAGCGCAATTTATTTTTATCCCGACTACAAAGTTAGCGACTGGTTCTCGCAACTTTGCGTTTTTTGGCCCGGTTGTTTGAAATGGTTTGCCTCCTTACTTACGTGACAATAACCTGCCATATTAACAATTTTGAAGCTAGCTTCAATTTTCACTCTGAATGATATCCATTGCAGTTACTATCGGTTTCATGGCTTAGATAAAGATTTCAAAAAACTCAATTCATTTTCTGTAAATAAAGTTTGTCCTAATTCTTTCTGACAACTACAAATTTTGTCGAATTCTATGTCAACAACTCTTTCTACTGCAAAAAATTCTGAACACCACCTTGTAACATTTGGTTTAAAAAATGTAGAACCAGTAATGTTTTGTACAGCATTTTTAGTAGTTCGATGTACAGAGTTTGAAATTGCAGAAGCTGTTCTAATAGATATTAATAAACCCAAAATAAACATATACGCCATAATACTAACTTCAATAACAATAAAGAACAGAAAAATGTCTGCTTGATGAATTTGAATAATAACAATTTTATTGAATTTTAATGATGAGCTTGGATGATTCTGTTTTCAGTAAATTGAAAAATTTCCAAAAAATTCTAGTAAAGAAAATTAAACAGACAACTTTAAATTGATTAATGCCAACAATTCGGCAGAATTCATACAATACTGTATAACTGTATAAATACAAAATATGGTCTTTTTTTCCAACACACACACACACACACACAACACACACACACACACACACACACACACACACACACACACACACACACACACACACATACATACACACACATACACACACACATAAATATATATATAAAATATGGTTGTTTTTAGATGGATGATTTGTATGTATGTACGTACGTATGTGTTTACGTAAGGACGTATGTTCTTGAATATTTTATTCGACTAGTGCACGGAAAAATCTTTGTATAAAATGAAAAAATACGCCGATGAATTCGAGGAAATAAAATATATAAAAAGATTAAAAAACATAAAACATGTTGCTGCTTTTGTTGTTGCTTCCGTAGTTTTTCGTGTTTTGTTGCTATCGCTCTCGTTGCTATTTTCGGTTTCGGTTTATTTTTTAGTTTTTACATTACTTTTCTATGTTATTAAATTAATTGTTATGTTTTTATTTTATTTTTTGGACTTATTTATTTCTATATCCCTCTTCTTTCATCTTTCTCTTTCTTGCTCTCATTTTTTTCTTTTTTCCCCTCACTCCTCCGTTTTCTCAAATTTATGTTTTTCTCTTTTCTTCTCATCCCCATCTTGACTTTTACTATTTTCTCCTCTTTGTTTTTTTCGGTGTCTAAGCTTTTCCAAATTTTTTTTTACACTTTTTTTATTTTTGCCATTTGTTTTTTAGTTTATTTTTTTTCTCTCTTTCCATTTCACTTTTTTTATTTTCTTTCTCTTTCACTTTTTCTTTCTGTTTTTTGTCTTTTTTATTCTTTGTTTCTGTCTCTCTCCTTCATTTTTTTTCACTTTTTTTTAAAAAAGATTGTTAAGGTTGTTTTGTATTCACGATGGAAAAACAGTTTTCCACTCGCGTGCGTTAAAAAGACCTCAAATGCATCCGATGGCTTTTGTATGTATGAATGTAATGTACGTACGTATGTATTTAAGTATTGTATGTAGGTAGGTATGTAGGTAGGTATGTATGTAGGTATGTATAGTATATATATATATATATACATATATATATATATATATATATAGAGAGAGAGAGAGAGAGAGAGAGGTTCAGACCACATTTTCCACATTGTTGAGTTTGTAACTATGTTTTTCAATTTTTTGAACAATTATTTTATCAATATTATTCAATTCAATTGTATGTATGTATTTAATAAAACCCAAATTTCATATGTTCACGGACTAGAAATATTACAGATGACTGTAATAGTGAATTAGAAGACAAAAAGAAGATTTTAATTAAATAAATTCATCATGCAGATAATACCTTATTTATTTTGATTTTTCATAAATCATCTTCAGTGCATGTTTGGTTTGTTTAGTTTCTTTAAACAAAACAAAGTTCTTTAGCAAAGTTTATTAGTTGGTGCCGAACTCTTCATTTTTGTTGTTGTCATTCCTTTGCTCTTAATTGTTAGTATTAAGGCGTCGAGTTGATAATGAAATTATCATTCTTTGTTGGATGTTTATTTGGAGTTTATTGATATATATTAGGAAAGCATCTGCAATTTATAGATGTATTGTGTTTTGATAAATTATTTTGTGTTGTTAAGAATTTGGCGTGTTATTGGAGTTGCAAGTGTTGATTGAAAGTGAGATTTTATGGCTCCTCTTTGTGAGACGTGTTGATAGTGAAGTAGTCGTAACACCAATATACGTATGTTGTTGACGCGGAAAGTCGTCAATAAGGCATTTAAATTCATATGTTACCTACATGATTAGGTCTTTAGGAGTGCAGTTGTTCTTTAAAACCATTTGTGATGTCTTACAATTATTGTAATATATTATATCATATCCTGAGTTTTGTTTTATTAGTATCATTGAACGGTTTAAGGACGACTTCGTCTATTTTAAGTGCATTGACATAATCATATGCCAACAATTCAGTAGAATTCATACAACACTGTATAAAATATTGAAATATAGTCCTCTTCCTGCACATATATGTATGTATATATATGCAATTATTGATTCTGATTTTTCTAACGGTTTTAATTATTATTATTATTATGCCGTGAAACATATTTTATTTATTGACAAATCAGTTTATTCTGTTATTAAAACAACATACGCCATTTACTGCGATATAAATATTTCATGACCGTTTTAAGGTACCACCTTCCTGCCCTGAGCAGCAGGATTTCATTGAACATTTGATTATTAACGATAATTATATATAAATTCCTTTTCCTGTGAATATAAACAACTCGCCAAATATTAATATTTTGTCTAGTTTATTAAATAATGTTAATAATTATTCAATATTTTTTTGAGTAATTTAAATAATACGTTGACCTGTTGCTGCGGCCGACCCTGTAGGGGCAGAAAGGGTTTAACAATGCACCAAAGAACTTGTAAAATGCTCAAATCTCTCAAAGTCAAAGTCGACGATGGTGAAACATCCATTTATCCTGGTTTCAAACACAAGCCAGTACAAATGACTGTCCCGCAACCGCTCTCAGGCGTCAAACTGCCAAAATCACCGACAGAGTGGTCAGAAGCAAACTCAGCCTTTCAGGTCGAATTGGAATGTTTAAACAACATGAATATCAATAATTTTGCAACACACCTACTTCAAAAACACTTATGGCATTGTAAAAACTAAAGCAAATTTAAAAATCGACCGCTCAATCAAACAGTAAAAAAAGGAACTAAAACAATTGAAAGCTCAAAACTGCAACAATGTTTTCGACAACAATATCTCAAAGCTGAGTAAATTAATACAAAATAAACTGAAATTAAAATCATCAAAAAAAACGTACCCCGCACAAGCTACAAATCAATTCAAGAACAACTTTTGGAAGGCATGCAGATCGTCGTTTTCATCATCTACAAATGTATCTCCTCAGTTCAATGTGGCCTACGGGGGAAATTTTTTCCGCAATGGGTTGATGGCTGACGCAAGATCCTCATTTTATTTTTCAGACTAGATTCCTTCCCTACCGGAACCATCATTTATAGGAGACATTGAAAAACCGACCTACAATGAAATCGCTGCGATCATTCGAAAGTGCAAGGCCAAGGCCACACCTTGCCCGCTAGATCAAATTTCGGTGATTGCAGTAAAGAGATATCCAATTCTCCGCACATATTTTCACAAATTGATAGTTAAATATTGGAATTCTGCAACTATCCCGATATGCTGGAAAAAAGCTTTAACAATCCTTATTTATAAAAAAGGTGATACGATGATCCGGGAAACTTTCGCCCCATAACTCTACAGCCAAAAAATCTTTGAAGGCCAGAAATTTGAACTATGCGGCTTCTTGTGGGGACCATGTCAAATGTTAAGGCCTGATCTTGGTTATAGTTTGCAGATAATACAGCAATAGTGGCACGTCATTTGCAAAGTGCTCACAAACTGATTGATTTTAATTTAGCCTGGTGTAGATGGTCAGATATGCAAATGCGAGTAAACAAAAGCTGTGTGTTCTGTATGATGAAAAAAGATGGTTCATATGAGCAATTTTTACCTAGGTTGACAATAGACGACTTACCAATTCCAACCATTGAATTGGGCTCCGGATTCAAATACCTAGGTAAAATATACGACTCGGAACTAAAAGACTCAAAGGCCAAGAAAAAAGTGGTTTCCAAATTAACAACACTGTTAAATATCACAACTGATCTAAATATTTCCACTCAGATGAAACTGCAAGTCTTAAAAAGATTTATCACGTCGCAATTAAACTTTGAAAAGCGCTTAGAGGATAACGGGTAACTGCTTGTTGGAATCATGTGGTGTCGCTTCAGAGTCAGGGTTGTCTGGTGAAATCGGTGACCGAAGTAATATCATCATCTCAAATATCTCATTGGTCTAAACAATTAGATACAATCTCAGAAACTTTTTACAAATTTGCTAGAAAATATATTATTCAACAATTGCCAACCAACGCCAATCTGGTCAGATAGGGAAAGACACAAGATTCTCTAGGTTCTTTATGCGGCGCTAACAAACACGTTGTGTCTAACTAAGGATCGATTGCGGCGCTGGCAAGATATACAAAACGTCATAATAAAATTCTATCTGAGTTTGTTAATTGGTTGAAGACATGTTGCCAGGAGGATTGCCTGATATTTGCAGATATCGAGTCAGAGTTCAACCAATATCGCAACTGTTCAACTTCATCCGTCCAGACGTCGCCATTATGCGCAACCGCAAAATTGAAATTATCGAGTTAACGGTGTGCCAGGAAACAAATTTGCTAGAATCAAGAAACTACAAACTATGGAAATACAAAAATATTTTGAATTCATGTTTGAACGCTGACTTTAAGAACTGTTTAATTTTTCACAAAACATTTGAAATAACTCTAATTGGCTTTTTCAATATTTTGAATTTGACGTTAATTAAAAATTTATGGCGGATTTCATTTATTAACAAATTAATAGACTCTAATTAAATCGACCTATACCATTCAGAATTCAGAATCGGGCAGCTAAGATCGTGGTTGGTACAAAAAAGTTTGACCATGTTACCCCGATATTCAGAGAACTGCACTGGTTGATGGTCAAAAAAAGAATTTTGTTTAAAATATCAACAATCCTGTTCAAATGTATAAAGGGAATGGCTCCAGTTTATTCGAAAGAAATGCATGCACCGAATCAACTGTCTTTTAAAACTGTCTGCTTAAGGTCTGATGATAGCAACTTGTTATGTCTTTTAAAACTGTCTGCTTAAGGTCTGATGATAGCAACTTGTTAATGGCGGAGAGAAGTTTTTCAGTAAGTGGACAAGTTGTTTGGAATAGTCTACCAAGTCATCTAAGACAGCCCGAACTGACAGAAAAATCATTCAAGAAATTATTGAAATCATTTTTGTTTTCATTATAAGATTTGGTTTATCGTAGCAATTCAGCTGTTTTTTTAGACAGTGCTTTTGAAAAACATTTTGTTTGTAATTAGCGCTAGGAATACTTCATAACCAATTTGAATACATTACCGTTTTGCACTTGTTTTAGACAATGAGCATTATGGTTTTTATTGAACATTATTACATCATTATTTATTATTATTACTTTTGACGATTTTAAAACTGCGCAAATTCAGATGTTTCGATATTTGCTGATGTGGATGGTGAAGATTTTCGCCTAGAGTCTGTACTTTTTAAATCTCTTCGTCCAGATATAGTTCTGGTTTGCAATAACACAATTGAAATCCTGGAATTAACAGTATGCCACAAAACAAATTTATTTGTCAAAGTCGAGAGAATATTAAATCAATAAATATTCACAAACAGCAACTACATTAATTTTAATCTTTTAATAAAAACTTTTAAAATTTCAACACTGGGTTTTTACAATACTTTTAATTTATCATTAGTAGATTTAATTTGGTCGTAACATTTTAAAAACAATTTATTAAACTTGATTTTATCATCATCATATTCAATATATTGCGGTAGGAATATTGTATTAACCTTTCTTTTCTAAACTAACATTCTCTATTAGTACTCATTTGTATAAAATGATGAGCGAAGTAGACTACTGATTATATTAATTTCATTATTATTATAATAATTTTGATTTCAATATATCATTATCATTAATTTAAATTAATTTCATTATATTGATTATTGCCAGTATAGATGTTATTTGATTCAATAAAAGCAGTGTTCCCATTAGTATCATCATCATCATCATCATATGTATTTGTATGTATGTACGTCGAAATTTTAGCTGCAAGTGAAAATTTGTTTTTGTATTTTTTTCCTCTTTTTGTTTTCATGCCTCTACATTTGTTTGAATGTTTTGTGTATATGTAGGTATCATTATCATTATCATCATCATCAATCATCATCATCACCACCACCACTATCATCGTCATCATTATCATCCTCGTCACAATCTTGTTTTCATTTTATGTAGACTTTATTACTTCCCAGCGTTGACGTGTGTCAGCAGCATTTATTTTTATTGTTACTATTATCAATTATATTATTATTATTTTTTTTTATTTGTAATTTTTAATATTAATTTCATTTAAAAGGATCATGAACTTAATTTTCTGAGCGCATCTAGAGATTTGTTTCTTAAAAGGAAATGAATGGCCCTAATTTATAATTTGTCATCACCATCATCACCGTCGTCGTCGTCATCATCATACAATGAAAAAAAATTAATATTGTAAAAATAAATAACAAATTATAGAATAATAAATAATAATAATATTATTATTATCATTAATATTATTATCATTATTTTTATTATTACTATTACCATGCATAATCATTATCAATACCCTCATGTTCGTCGTCCAAATTATTATCATCATCATCATCATCACAACCATCCTCATCTGCGTCATAAACATCATCATCAACAAAAACATAATTGTCATCACCATCATCGTAGTCATCGGGGTCATCGTATCATTATGACCATCATCCTAGTTGTAACTATCTACCATCATTTATTTCTCTTCCATTTATTCTTCACTGCCTATCTTGACTTTGTCATGAAGAACGCCAAAAGTTTATCATTTGAGTAATTAATCGATTTGATTGAAGCAATTTATTGATTAAACATTTAATTAATTGATTAACTAGTTAATCAATTAATTTCTAAGGTTGATTTTCATTTTGGCGCGTTCTAGAAACTTGCTACAAAAAGCACTATATGAATGGTCTAATAATAATAATAATAAAAAATAATAATAATAATAATAATAATAATTATTATTATTATTATTATAATGTTGATAATGATGATGATGATGATCACCATGATGATCATGATTATTATTATTAAAATTAATATTTAAATATAATAATTTTTGATAAAACAACTAAGAGAACGCACCCTCAGCCCAGATGGGAGCGCAGGAGCACCTATGAAGTACTTCCGCACTCAAACATCCGCCCACACACTCCTCCTCGCCATGCTGACACGTGACTCGTTGTGATGATGTCATCTATATCGGTGATGAAGTAATGGAGTGGATGACGATAGTTGTGATGATAATTTTAATGATGGTAATAATAATGAAAATATAAATAATAGTAAATAATAATGATCATAATAATAGTCATGTGACGATATTATCAAAGGATGTCGATGATGATGGCTATTGTTATTAACATTGTTTTGATGATTTTAATAATGATGCTGATGATGTTGAAGACAAAGGTGACGATGAAGATGAAAATTTCAGAGAGAATAATAATGGAAAGCTAACAATGTTGTGTGTTGTTGTTGTTGATGATGATGAAGCTAATGTTCTGATAATTACGATAATAATGACGGCAATGATAAAGATGGTGTCGATGATTACGATGATGATAATTGCTATAATGCATGTGGTCATTATTAAAGATGTTGGGCAATTAATTACCGCCATATATAACAAACAAACGAATGAACGAACGAACAAACGAAAAAACGAATACACACCACACACATTGTTAGAGTTTTCTGAAAATTGTTTAATTTATTAAAAAAAGAATTACCATCCAAATTTATCCTGAAAATTCTGTAATTTTTAGATGTATTGTTTTTGTGTTTTGATAAATTATTTTTTGTGTTGTCAAAAATTTGACGGGTTATTAGAGTCGCATGTGTTGATTGGGAGTGAGGTTTGATGGCTCCTCTTTGTGTATGCATTGTGAGACGTCTTGATAATGAAGTGGTCGTAACACTAATATACGAATTCATTCGAATCAAAATAAAACCCATCTGCTTGACGAATTTGGGTAACAACATTTTTATTAAATTCTCATGATGAACTTGGATAATAACTCCATTTCCAATAAATTGAACAATTTCTTTATTTCATATTTCTAACCAAAAACTTGTCGTCATTATTTATTTTAATATACAGTTTTCCAATTTATTCTCAAGTGTATAGGACCTATTTCGATTTTAGTTACAATTAGTTAGTTACTTCCAATTTAACTTTTTAATTTTTTTAACGGTTGATCGTAAATCATTTTCAAGTTTTTTTAGTTCAAAACCAAATTTTTGTTTATATATAACTGCTTTCAAACAGGATGAAAAAATCATAAAAAAAATCATAAAAATAATGTCTACCTACACTTTCAAAATTAAACGTTCTCAAAAATAACTCATGAACCATGCAGATTAAATAGCAACATAAATAATTCAATATAAATAAGCAGATATCCATCCAGTAGGTAAATATAAATCACATTAGCCTACCTAACAAAACGCTAAGTAGAGGAAGAAGTGCAGTAAGAATAACTAAATATATTATTTAACTAATCAAACCCATTCACACACATTCAAACCAACAGATTCATATCTAACCATGCACAAACACACTCATTCATACTCACTCACACACATGCACGCCTCGTCATGCACATTCACACACTCACAAACGCCACACACGTACGCGCACACTCTTATATCATGGACACTCAAAATCACTCATACATTTAGACAAATTTAAAATACTGTGACATTAATGTAATTGCTCGAAAATAAAAATAATATTAAATAAATAAATAAATAAATAAATATATATATATATATATATATATTTATACATTATATGTATATATATTATATGTATATATAATACAATTTATAAATTCTATCGAATGTTTGACATAATGCCAACAATTCATAGAATTCATAACAAGAGTGTATAAAAATGGTATCTTTCAAACATACAAATACATAAAAACAGTTGTTGATGTTTTTTGTACAATCATAATCAGAATTTTTTTTTAAACATAATTATTCTTGAATATTATTTGAAACATTTTTCATAGTACCATAACCATCGCTGACATTGTATTGAAGTTAAAAAATTGTTTTATTATTGATGAATTTTGGCCAGAAACAAAACAAAATTAGCGTTCACGGCTTTTTTATATTTTTTATTAAATTGCTATTTCAGTATTTAGCTATTTGTATTGGTTTTGCAAAAAGCGGAAGAAATATGCGTCCCGCGAACACCAAATCGGAACCCAGAATATGGAGGGCACATTCGGAACTGTCAGGCCCAATTCGGGTCGGTTGGCACATACACACGTACACTCACCCCTATACAAACACAAACATATTCACATAAATACACATAATATACATTTAGCAATCATCTGGTCTTCGATACGGGAAGCATATACAAAACTCCAAAACAATATATAATGCAAGATAACCTCCCACATATACGCAAAAACATACATGCACACACACAAACAAACGTATATACACACATACATGCAAACATTTTTCAAACTAACCAGATACAAAACAATACCAATACACAACAAAAGATTTGCTAGGTAATCCATCATTGTCAAATAATTCTACGCTATATAAAATACAATAGGCTTATATACATACGTGCATACATACATGCATACATACATACATACATACATACATACATACATACATACATACATACATACATACATACATACATACATACATACATACATACATACATACATACATACATACATACATACATACATACATCTTGGCTATCATGGTCTTGTTTGTCGTTTGGGCGGAGGTCGCCAGCAGCGACATTCAGCCATAAACGATTTTGTGTGCCGACTTTTCTCCAAGGCCTCAATTCCGGTTTTAAAGGAACCGTCGGGCATTGCGGCGCACGACGGTAAGCGCCCTGACGGGTGTACCTTGATCCCTTGGAGAGCCGGCAGGTGCTTGGCGTGGGACGTTACCGTTCCGGGCACCTTTGCTGAGCGCTACGTGCAGCTTACTAGCAAAGAAAGCGGTTTGGCTGCAACCAGGGCATCTGACGAGAAGATCAAAAAGTACGACGGAGCTCTCCCCTCGATGGAGTTTTTACCGATTTGTATCGAGGTCCTCGGCCCCATGGACCGTAACACCTCCGGGTTTTTCAAACGGATTTGTAAAAATATCAGTATTAGGTCAGGCGATAGTAGGGAATATTTTTTTGCTATGAATAATATCTCGTGCATTCTGCAGCGGTTTTTGCGCGTCTGTGTGTTGGAAAATGTGGAGTTGAATGCCGACGGGGTTGAGTGACGTTATAGCAAATAAAATCAAATTTAGTCAGACGCTTGGCTTTTGGTGTCATTCGTCAATGATTTGGTTTTAACATACATACATACATACATACGTACATACATACATACATACATACATACATACATACATACATACATACATACATACATACATACATACATACATACATACATACATACATACATACATACATACATACATACATACATACATACATACATACATACATACATACATACATACATACATACATACATACATACATACATACATACATACATACATACATACATACATACATACATACATACATACATACATACATACATACATACATGCATACATACATACATACATACATGCATACATACATACATACATACATACATACATACATAAAATTGCATACACACACCACAAACCACACATACACGGCGTGATGGCTCAATGGTTAAAGGCGCCTGGTCTTGCTATTGCAATGACTGGGTTCGAATACAAAAAGATCCCCGCCTATCATATGCAATGTGCATATATATATGTATGCATGTATGAATGTATTATGTATGTAAATGTGTATGTATGCATGTATATATAAATAAACACACTCAGATCTATATATACAAAAATATACACACGATTAAAAATTGCAAACAAAAATACGTATTCCCAGTCGAACAAAACAAGCTGTCAATCAAATCAACCAACCCTGTCATATCTCCGGAGACGAACGTGTGTGACTTTGGAGAGTGGTACGTGTATTTGTGGTCTTTTTAAGGTCAATAAAAGATCATTCTCATGAGGATGATGATGATGACCTGGTATAATTACGAACCCATTTCCAGATGTTGAAGTGTAGTCATAGACCTGTGCGTTCAGCATTAGACGAACGTGATTGGCTGTTGGTGGGGTTTGATGGCGGAGTTTGAAAATTTTTATTTTTGAATTGTTTGATAGGTTGAATTGTTTTTTGATCAAAAATTATTAGTTGATTGAAGTATTAGTTTGCAAATAGATTGTTAAATGATTTTACTTATTAAATGGTTAATTATAACAATTTATTATTTGCTTCATTGAATGGATGACAAGTTATAAATAATGCACAAAAAATAAAATATAAACACTCTAACAAAATACAAAATAAACACACATACACGCACACACACAAACACACACTGTTAAAACATATATACACACATACACATACATACATACATAAATGCATGCATGCATACATACATACATACATACATACATACATACATACATACATACATACATACATACATACATACATACATACATACATGCATACATACATACATACATACATACATACATACATACATACATACATACATACATACATACAATATACATACATACAATGGAAATGGAAAGTGGTACGTTTACCTGCAAGAAAACAATAAGTTTGATTAATGGACGTGTTGGCACTTGGTATTGCTTGGAACAGTTGGTAAAGGTACAATATGTTAAATTTTGCAGATTCGGACTTGGAAACAAGAAATATAATACTAATAAGAAGATGGTTAGGATTGGTCTGTTGAATGTCAGATCTATCAACAATAAGGTTGATGATGTCTATGGAATGATTTATGATGGCCTCAACATACTGGTTCTGTGTGAAACATGGCACGGGACCGAAGGTAATATTTCCGTTAGATTAGCTATGCCACCTGGTTTCACATTTGTGGATTTTGTCAGGCCGCATGATCCTGGTCAAGGGGGTTTGGTAATTTATTTTAGAAGTGATTTTAAGTATAAAAAAATAAATCTCCCTTTATTTTCAAGTTTGAAGCTCTGGCCATCAGATTGAAGATTGGAATTGATCAGTTCTGTTTAATTGCCCTCTACAGACCTGGCTCGGAACAGACGACTTCATTATTCTTTGAAGAGTTGATTTCTATGTTAGAGTTTATTACAATGTCGGAGGCTCATGTCGTACTTACGGGTGATTTTAACATTCACGTTGAAAAAAGGGATAGTCTTTTCACTCTACGACTACATGAGATACTTGATATGTTCCAGTTGGTCAATCATGTGTCGGGAGGTACGTTAGACCTAGTAATTTGTTCACAGAATTTTCCAATTTTTGATACTAAGATTGACCCGTGTTCGGTATACTCTGACCACAGTTACGTAGGTGTGAGAGTGGCGTTGAATCAAGTCAGACCAAAATTGGTGAAAGCATGTGTCAGACCGTGGAAAGATCTGAACGAAAAATGTTTTGTTGAAGCACTAGCGAACTTTCCTGTGGCAAACAAATGTCAATCTGATGATGTGAATTATGAATTTGCTCTGTTTAGTGGTGAAATTCAACGAATTTCGGACAATTTAGTGCCTATGCGGATGATTTATCGTAGACAGACAAATGCTGCACCTTGGTTTGATGGTGAGTGTAGACGTGCAAAGCGATTCTGTAGGAAGATGGAAAGAATTTATAGGAACCGTCCGGAAAGTGGGCGGAAAAAAAGATGGGCACTCCCATTGATGGCTAAAAACAGACTCTTTTCTGACAAGCGTACGCATTATTGGAACGATGTCGTAAGTAGTAAGGAAATCAAAGAAATCTTTGGGATGTTGCCAATAAAATGTTAGGTAAAAGTTTGGCAAATGATTCATTTAATGATGACAACGCTCTAAACGCTGATAGATTTTACAATTTTTTGAAGATAAAATTGCTAGGATAAAAGAAACAACAAATGCACATTCTGAATTTCCACTTCAAGTAGTCTCGATGTTGAATAAATGCACGTTTTCATGCTTTCCGTTGGTTACTGAAACTCAGTTGAGGGAAACGGTACTTAAATCACCAACGAAATCGTGCAGTTTGGATATAATCTCTACGCATATCTTTAAAAAATACTTGGACTCATTTGTCTGCTTTCTGACGAGTTTTTTAAACCTCTGTTTACGCGTTGGTAAATTTCCTTCTAGCTGTAAGCACGCGATAATTCAACCGATTTTGAAAAAAGCTAACTCAGATGCAAATGAGGTGAGTAATTACAGACCAATATCAAACTTTTCCTTTGTTTCAAAGGTTTTGGAGCGTGTTGTTCTTGATTTCCTGATGAATTATCTAACGACAAACAATTTAATGCCACTCAACCAATCGGCCTACAGGTGCTACCACTCAACAAAAACTGCATTGCTTCATGTCTTGTCAAACATGTTTGCAGGCATGGATGATCGGAAGATATCATTACTCTCCTTTCTCGACTTGTCGTCCGCTTTTGACTGTGTTAATCATAACAAGCTTCTGGTAAAATTGCAGAATAATTTTGGAGTTTCAGGAACGGTACTCGCCTGGTTTGAATCATATCTAACGGGTAGAACTCAGCAGGTTTTGTTTAGAAAAGTCTTATCATCTGTCAAGGGGGTAACAACGGGTGTTCCTCAGGGATCAGTGCTAGGACCAGTTTTGTTTCTACTCTTTACATTGGATATAATTAAAATAATAATGTCGTATGGACTTGTTGGTCATGCGTCTGCAAATGACATACAGATAGTTGCTACAGGTCATCCAGAGACATTTCAGTCCGAGATTGATAAACTTGTCGGTTGTTGGAGACCTTGGAGAGCCGGCAGATGTTTGGCGTGGGATGTTACGGTCTCTGGCACCCTCGCCGAACGATATGTAAACCTGACAAGTAAAGAACGCGGTTTGGCCGCGGCCAGGGCAGCGGACGAGAAAATGAAAAAATATGGGAACGCCCTCCTCTCGATGGAATATGTATCGAGGTTCTCGGCCCGATGGACCCCAACACCCTTAAATTTCTTAAGGAAATATGTAAAATGATCAGCGTCAGATCAGGCGACAGCAGGGTACTGTTTTTCGCAACTAACCATATTTCGTGCTTGTTGCAGCGGTTCCTGCGTGTCTGTGTGCTTGAAAATATCCAACTGAATGCCGACATGTGCAATTAACGACAAATCAAAATGTTAATCCATTTGTTACTTGATGTTTGACGGTTCAGTGTCACTCATCATGTTTTGGTTTTAACATACATACATACATAATGCATACATGCATTCATACATACACACATACATACACACAAACACACAATTGGTACAATTCAATTGATCATGTCTTCGCTAGTGTCGATTTTTATGTTTCGTTTTAAAAAAATAACTCCTGCAGACGTACCTACTTTATATTAGTAGTTTTAGAGTTGGTCGTGTTAATAATAATAATGGTAGAAAAAGAGTAGTAGCGATTTTTTCAAAGAAAGTTGATGGAGTTGTGGTAGCAGCAAATATATTACCGTCCAGAGTAGCGGCAGTTGTAAAACATGTGCTAGTATTTGTAGAAGTATATTAATATATTACTATTATATAGCAGAATAATATTAATAATTATAGAATTGTTATTAATGTTATTATCATTATCATTATTACTAACACGACCAACTCTAACATCACTAATAAATATAAATATATTATTATATTAATAATTTATAATAATAAATTATTATTATTATTAATATATAACAATAATATATTATTATTATTATTATTATTATTAATATATAATAATAATATATTACTATTATTGTTGTTGCTGCTACTTCTTTTACCACAACTACCCCTACTACTATTCTACTACAACTATTACTCTTATTACTAGTAAACACAGTTATAAGAATACATCATATATTGAAAAAAGTAAATCACAAAGAAGAGCTGAAACAATTTTTTGAAAGCACAATGTGATGATAAAGATGTGAGGGTGAACATGCGATGATGAACATGTGAGAATGAGCACGTGATGATGAACCTTGCGATGATGAACACATGATGATGAACACATGATGATGAACACATGATGATGAACACATGATGATGAACATGTGATGATGAACATGTGATGATGAACACATGATGATGAACACATGATGATGAACATGTGATGATGAACATGTGATGATGAACATGTGATGATGAACATGCGATGAATACGAATATGAATACATGCATGAATACGCGGCCGATGTTTCCCATTGAATGACTGAAGTTTTTTTTTCGTGTTCCTGAAATTTAAAAAATATTAAAAATAAATTACTGCTTTAAAACCTATGAATAATAAACGATGACTACTCTGAGTATGATGAGGATGATGATGATGAAGAAGAAGAAGATGATGATGACAAAGAAATAAATTATTGAAATGTCGTTGAAACGGTGTATAGCGATGATGAAATCTGTAATAATTATAATATGGTTATGTAGACGCAATATTCGATGGTGATAATTATCATCATGTTATTTAGTTATTAATTAATTAATAAATTAATTAATTTATTATTATTTAAAAAAAAGATGATCCCGAGAAGGTGGTGGTGATAATAAATTAACTATAATTAAATGCTAGCATTATTATGAAAACACGATAATCAATTATATGTTTAAAATGTTTATAAGAATATCTACCTAGCGTTACATCGATGATGACTGCGATAATGACGACATATAAATGATGATGATGATGATGAAGGTAATGGCAACAACGACAATGTTGACGAACAAACACATTTTTTTCTTAAACATATCAAGGATGGAATTGTGTCTGAAAAGTCATTTGCTTTCATTTAAATGCATTCTGCCGTGAACGTGTTGTTGAAATTTTTTAATACTACTACTACTACTACTACTACTACTACTACTACTACTACTACTACTACTACTACTACTACTACTACTACCAATACTACTACTACTACTAATACTACTACCACTACTACTACCAATACTACTACTACAACTACTACCACTATAACTACTACCATACATTTTAAATGATGCTAATGCATCTAAAAACCAAAATTATTTTTTCCATGAACTGTTATATAAATTGTACTTGTGTCGTTACTTTTCCTTTTCATTTCACTTAAAAGTGAAACCCAACAAATATGATGGTGACCGTGATTTGAGTGGGGATGAAAAACTTTTTACGAAGAAAGATTGATAGAGAAAAAAATTTAACAATTAAAAAAATAGAGAGAGAGAGAGAGAGAGAGAGAGAGAATGGCGAATAGAAAGAAAAAAAAAGAGAAATGAAAAAAAGTAAGAACATAATGAAGAAAAGAAGAATGAGATGGAAAGAAAAAAAACGGTAAAAAGGGTGAAAAAATAATAGAATAAAAAAGATAGTGGGAGAGGACGAGAGAGGACGAATAAAAGCGTAGTGGAAAAAATTAGTTAGAAAAAAAGACGAAGCCGAGAAGGAGTGAGGAAGAGAGAGAGAGAGAGAGAGAGAGAGAGAAATGAAGAGAAAGATGAAAAGAGAGATGAAAGGTGAGAAAAGTAGGAATAATATTAAGTAGAAAAAATGAGAGAGATAAACAGTTTAAAGATAGAAAAAAGAGGAGGAGAAACAGAGATAGACTGAGGAAAAAAAATAGTGAGAGATATAGAAAGAGAGTGATAGATATAGAATGAAATTGAAAAAATATAAAGATAGTGAGAAAGATGGAAAGATAGGAAGAATGATGGAGAGTGAAAGAAATATAAAAAGGGTAAGATTGATGGAACAGAGAGTGAGACAAATGGAACAAAATTTAGAAAAAAGAGAGTTAGAAAAATTGAGAGTGAAAGAGAGAATGTAAAAGCGTTAGAAAGAGGGTGAAAAAATAATAGAATAAAAAAGATAGTGGGAGAGGACGAGAGAGGACGAATAAAAGCGTAGTGGAAAAAATTAGTTAGAAAAAAAGACGAAGCCGAGAAGGAGTGAGGAAGAGAGAGAGAGAGAGAGAGAGAGAGAAATGAAGAGAAAGATGAAAAGAGAGATGAAAGGTGAGAAAAGTAGGAATAATATTAAGTAGAAAAAATGAGAGAGATAAACAGTTTAAAGATAGAAAAAAGAGGAGGAGAAACAGAGATAGACTGAGGAAAAAAAATAGTGAGAGATATAGAAAGAGAGTGATAGATATAGAATGAAATTGAAAAAATATAAAGATAGTGAGAAAGATGGAAAGATAGGAAGAATGATGGAGAGTGAAAGAAATATAAAAAGGGTAAGATTGATGGAACAGAGAGTGAGACAAATGGAACAAAATTTAGAAAAAAGAGAGTTAGAAAAATTGAGAGTGAAAGAGAGAATGTAAAAGCGTTAGAAAGAGAGTGGCCGAGATAAAAACAAGTGAAAGAAATAGGGAGTAAAAAAGATTTAGAGTGAAAAAAGAGTGAAAGAGAGAGAGAGAGAGAGAGAGAGAGAGAGAGAGAGAGAGAAAGAAAAAGAGAGAAAGATAGAAATAAAGAGAAGGATAGAAAGAGAAAGAAAGTAGAGCGAGAAAGGGAGAAATGGAAAAGAGAATCCGTGACATATGCCGACAAAATTGGTTTCCACGAGTTTTCAGACGACGGCGGAAGTGACGTCACGCTATTCAACGCGTCACGTGATCTTTAAAAAAAATTTAATTGACGACGCTGTTACCATCGTTGTTTTTGTTATTGTTGATGTCGTTGTTTGTAATGTGGCTGCGTTATCAGGCGCTAATATCAATTTTTATATTCATGCTCATAATGTTTTGCGATAGACTCTGATATTGCGTTTTATTATTGTTATTGTTTTTCACTGAAGCCGCCTTGTAAAGATTCTTATGTCGCCAGCCTATTTCTGAACCCATCCATTAAAACAACCTCACGTTGCTCAGCGGGCAACGAGCTTCAAACTGTTGAAGTCGACACTGCCACGTTTCTTCCTCTCGCCACTGTCCATCCTCTTGAATCTTGCAACAGCATTCTGGGCCAACTGCAATCTTTACAACATCCTCGCACTAACACCAACAGTAACGTGCCAGAGTCTCCAGTATCCCATGAGGCATAAACGTCAGCTCCTAATTGAAAATGACCTCCAAACTTCTTACTGAGTCGGCACTAGTTCATTCGCTATCAAGAACACTGACGTAAAACTAACGAAAACCTAACAAAAACCATGTACTGAAGCCCGCGGGACTCCAACAAAAAAATCTGATTCTTGACAGACCACCCAAAAAAATCTGCTGACACCGCTCATTCAGAAACACTCGCAACCACTGCAAAGCTGCACCTGTAGCCACAGGACAACAAAAAAGGCCCAAGAGCAGAATGACATAATCAACAGCGTCGATTGCCGAGCTGACACCAAGCAAGGCCAGCAGAACAACTTTTTCCTCGTCAACACCAGTCAACACATACAATGTTTCTTCAGTAATATTTTGAAAGCGGTTGATGTTGACGTTTTGGTAGTTGTTGATATTTTTATTGAAACTGTGATTATCGATGATGTTGTTGCTGACGATGTTGCGCTGCAGATGTTGATGTTGTTTGTGTTGTTGATCATTGGTATTGGTGACGTAATAGATGATGGTTAGCGGTGCCAGCTCCCGTGCAACGATGACCGCGTTCGAATGCATTGTGTGTCGTGTGTGTGCGTGTGCGTGAAACATTGATTCTCGCGCTCATTTGCATTATACATACGGGGCCTACTGTTGATGATTCTAAGAATTAGTGTAAAAAAAATAATAAAAAGTATTAACAAAAATATCAACAATGAAAACAATAAAAATAATATCAATAATACAAATACTATTACTACTATTCCTACTACACTACTACAACAACCACTACTACTACTACTACTACTACTACTACTACTACTACTACTACTACTACTACTACTACTACTACTACTACTACTACTACTACTACTACTACTACTACTACTACTAATGGGAACTCTTTTATTTTTTCCAAAAAAGGGGCGAAATAAATATTCAATGAAATAAAATAAAATAAAATAAAATGAATTAAAAAGAGAAAGTAGTCTACGATGCTCGCCATTATAGATATAAAATGCGTACAACGAGAAATGTAATCAGTCATAATATAGTTATTATACATTTGAATGTCTGTCGCTATAGATGGCGTATGATGATGATATTACTGAATTAGTTAAATCAGTCATAATGATAATAACAATAATAATGATACTAATAATAATGATGATGATGATATTGGAAAGAAGTTATATATAACAGTTTAATGGTTGTTTGATGATGATGATGACGCAAATGGTGATGATGATAAAGAAAAGATGACGATAACGACGACGATGATTAAAATGAGGATGACGATGACGAAGACGACGACGTCGCCTTAATATAGTTATTGTACATTTGAATGTCTATCGCAATAGATGGCGTATGATGATGATATTACTGAATTAGTTAAATCGTAGCATAAATGTTCAGTCCAAGTAAAATTTACAAGAGATAATTTAAAATGATTAAAAAAGCCTAGTGGAGAGATTTCAAATGTATAAATAATAATTGTTTTTGCTTTCTTCTCGTCAACCAGATTGTTGTGGATGTTTTGGTATTTAGATATCTTGTAGTTCCTTGTTGTGTTGAAGTTGGATTCGTGGCAGACTGTCAGCTCCAGTATTTCGATGGTGTCACCACGATGGAGTGCTATGTCCGGCCAAGATGATTTGAAAAGGGACGATACTGGAGTGAATTCATCGCTGGTCTTGTCGGCATAAATTGTAACATCTGCTACCGATCTAATCGTTTCCAAAATCAAGGACAGTATTTTGTTGTGACGTGTTGTGTATCTTTTTAAAGCCGCAATGGAACCGCAATTAGACAGCACGTGCTTGTTGGTCTGCAATGTGTTGCAGAGGGGACACAGATCATTCGAGGACTTACCCCATCTGGAAAGATTTGCATTTGTCGGAAGCTGTTGAATTTGTGCTTTCCTGACGAATTTGAACAGAATCTCCGGCAGATTGGCAGTGAACTTCGACTATCGAGAAATATTTGTTGCCGAAATATGATCTTTGATTGACTTGAGAATCGTTCCTTAGCATTTCGGTGAGGACAGATGTGCGAGACCAACGTCTTGCTGGACTGTCGGTAGCTTTGAAAGTGTCGGCTTTATGTCAGTTGAATTTGGAAGAATGTTATCGACTTTGATGTAGCTGTTGTGAGATTCCATCCACAAACAATTTATTTCGTTGTTGATGTGCGATTTCATGTAGTTGCGGAGTTTAACCCTCAACGCTTCAGCGTAATGTTTGAGCGATCTCACATTTAATCCCCCTAATTTGTAAGGGAGCGAAGTGTACTCCGACACACAGCTACTGACTGGCAAGGATAAACAGTCTCTTATTGATTCGGCGATCAACGGGTCCAAACTGTTCTCAATCCATGTAAACGGAAAATCATAGGTGCGGAGTTCGAAAGCCAACTGCGATGGGATATATCTGCGGACTATCTGCAGTTTCCATTGTGGTGTAGTATTTAATTTATTTATAATAGACAGCATGTGTTTAAGTTTGTCAATCAAACGTTTTTTGGCTTCAGCATTGCAACCTTCGTAATCGTATATTTTTCCCAAGTAAACGAAGTGGCCATCTGCCTCAGTCGGCGGAATTGGTTTATCATCGATGGTTAGTCGAGGAGAGAATTGCTCATATTTGCCATTTCTTTTCCTCATGCCGAATGAATTGCATTTGTCGATCCTCATGCACATCCCGGTTGCGCTACACCACGCCTGGTTTAAACCTATTAATTTTTGGGCGCTGTCGGTGCTATTTGCTATGATAGCGGTATCATCAGCAAACTGAAGCCAGGGTCTGTAGTGTAGATTGGCTGAAGGTCCCCACATATAACCGCACTGTTGAAACTCGTCCTTTTCAACCAGTCTCATCAGTGGGTTAAAACATAAGTTGAAAAGTAATGGGGAGACGGGATCGCCTTGGAGAACTCCTCGTCTTACTGGGATTGGAGAGGTTAAACTTTCGCAGCCAGAAACGGTGATTGAATAATCGCTGTAGATATAATTAATTAGGTTAATTATCTGAGGCGGGATGTGGTGGTGGCTGAGAGTAGACGAAATAAGGCTGTGGCTAACTTCCCCAAATGCGTTGCGGAGATCCAACAAAGCAATGATGATGGTTCGTTGGTGTCTTTTCGCATCTTTAATCATATGGGTTAACATTTGGGTGTGTTCGGTTAGACCATCAACCTTCGAGTAAAACCCTTTTTGGATGTTTTTATTAATCATTTTGTTAGTTTCAAGATATTGATATATTCTATTATTTATTAATGATGAGAAGATTTTGTAGAGTGTTGGTTGCAGAGTTATAGGTCGAAAATTTGACGATTTGTCAGCGTCACCTTTTTTATGGATTAATATGGTGAATCCATTTTTCCAGCACGTAGGAATCGTGGAGGTTGACCAGCACTGACTTAACAATTGTTGTAGAATAGTTCTGAGTATGGGACATTTTTTGAACGGGATAATCGAGATCTGGTCCAGAGGGCAGGGCAATGATCTCGTTCTATATTTTCTGATTATTGACGAAATCTCGTTGTACCCGGGAAGGTATGTGTTACATGGCTTAGACGGTAGTGGAAGCTTTTCTAACCAGCCTGGAAGCTGGTGTTTGTTGTGGCTGTATTCATTTAGGACAGCGCTAAAGTAGTTATGGCAAGTTGTGGAATTGAACTGAGGACTCTGGCATTCAGCTGGTGTGAATAATTTTTGCAATACCACCAGAATTGATGTCTCAGCTGGGATGTTGTATCTTGTTTTTTTGCGTTAGCCGATTGTTTCAATGCCAATTTCGATCGCAGCAGTTTACTAACCAGTCCTATTTGGCATCGAAATGATGATTTTCGTGGCCCGGCTGCTTGAGGTGCTTCAATTCTTTTTTTAATAACCTAATTTGATGATTATTATTGACGTCAGATTCCACTTTATGCTTGATTGAACCATAACTTTTTGCAAAGTAGTTGTATATCATGGTTTGAAATGCAACAGTGAAGTTGTTTAGATTGTCGAAGTTTGGTAGAGTGTGTCGTTGTAGTTGGAAGTAGGTGTTGGCTTCTAACCATTGAGCGTGGCTTTTCGGGAGTTTGACTCCTGGGAGCGGCATTGCGGTTTTGTCTGAACTTGGTGCCCAATTGTCCGTTTTAAGTGGCTTTGTTGGCGGAGACTCCTGCGAGGCGTTTGTTGAGGAGAATTTTTGCATGGTGTTTGCCAGAGAAGGTTGCTGCATGGCATTTGTTGGAGAGAATCGTTGTATGGCGTTTGTTGAGGGAAGTTGTTGAATGACTTTTGTTGATTGAGACTGCAGTAAGGCGTTTGCTGGAGAAAATTCTTGCATGTCGTTTGTTAGAGGAACTTGTTGTGTGGCGTTATTTGCAGAATGATGTTGCGTGGCGTTTGTTGAAGCAAATTGTTTCATGACGCTATTTAGAAGAAGTTGTTGGAAGGTGCTATTTGAAGAAGGTTGATGTGTGGCGTTTGTTGAGGGAAACTGTTGCGTGGCGTTCTTTGAATGCGACTGTTGCTTGTCCTCTGGCGGCGTCGAGTCCAGTTTTGGAGCTGAATTTGCCGTTTCGTCTTCTGGCGGCGTCGAGTCTAATTGTGGTGCTAAATTTGCCGTTTCATTTCCGTTTTCTATTTCCACTGACAGTTTGAGTCTCTTATGAATGGCACATGAGTGTTGGTGCATTTTTAAACCTTTACGTCCCTTGCAAAACTAATAATAATAATAATAATAACAATGACATTAATGATAGCATCAATAATAATATTGCTGGTGGCATTGTTGTTAGTTGTGTGGACGTTTAGGCCGTCTTCTTATATTGGCAGCATTGTAAAATTTAATTGAATAAAAATTTTAATTTTTAATATCTGCGAACACATGCTGAGACAAACAACAGGACCACCACGTTATCATCTTCAGCAACACAACAACGGCAACAACATCAACAAATCCATCTTTTATCATCAACAACATCGTCATCATTAACAACAACAATAAATCAAATCAAATTTTATTCAATCAATCCAAATTAATAATAATTAGGTAATGATTAGGAGACCAAACGATTTTGACATCTGGTAATTTGCTTCAAGTGAACTTCAGGGCTGTTTCCCCAGATGATGTTGCAGTATATTAGATGTGGATAGATTAATGAATAATACAAATCTATAATTATTGGTTTATTCAATCTTACTTTAATTTTATTAATTACGCCTATGGTTTTATTAATTTTTTTCGATAACGAGTCTATGTGCATATCCCACGAGAGGTTGTCCTTGATTATCACTCCGAGAAATTTTGTGCTGGATGTACGCGGGATGCTATGGTTATTCATTTTTATATCTAAATTAGGTATTGTGTTAGTCAATATTTTTGGACCGAATAGAATGTAGTTGCATTTAGAAAAATTTACAATTAGTTTATTATTGATGAACCAATTTGAAACATCATCTAAACTTTTGTTAATTATCTCTACATCGTTTGATGGATTGCTAGCTGGAAAGAAAATGTTAGTATCATCTGCATACAGAAGATGATGAGCGTCAGTAGCCAGATGAAAATCATTCATGAAAATTATAAATAGAAGTGGGCCTAAGATTGATCCTTGCAGGACTCCTGAAGTTATATTTAATTTATTTGAAGATTTATTTTTTATCGACACGTACTGATTTCTGTTTTGCAGATAGCTTATGAACCATGTATGTGCTATTCCTCTTATTCCATAGGAGAATAATTTCTTTATTAATATCTCATGATTAATAACATCAAATGCCTTGGACAGGTCTATGAAAACACCTATGGTTAGGATATTTCCGTTTCAGCGGTTGCAATGGGGCGTAAATATCAAGAATTCTATTTAATTGATTATAAAAATTCATGCAACAGGTGTCAATGTTACTCTCATCCGTTATTGAATCCCATTTTTCAGAAGATAGAGCTTCCTTAATTAGGGAAATTTTTCTATTATTTATGTTCCTTTTCAAAGTCAGAGTATCTGTAGTGACAAATCCTGTATTTTCTACAACGGTATAAATTGGATAATGATCTGAAAAGTCTGATATTATTATTCCATTATAACATTGTTGATTTAAGTTAAAAAATATATTATCTATTAGTGAAATTGAGTTATTAGTTATCCTAGTTGGTAAATCAATCAAAGGTAAGAAGTAATGCGACAAAAGTAAATTTTGAAAATCTTTGGAGGTTTTATCTATTAGATTAATGTTAAAATCTCCGACAATGAAAATTTTATCAAGTGGATTTAGACTATTTAGTATCGATTCAAAAACAACAACATCAATAAAAACAACAACAACATCATCAATTTCAACGACAAAAACAACTACAACAAAAACATAAACTTTTACAACACAACAACGACATTAACAACAACAACAAATTTAACCACAACCAAAAAATTTCAACAACAACAACATAAGCATAACAACAACACAAACCTCTGGTCTCCATATGATAGCATATGCCCCTCTCCGTGAAAACCATTTTAAAATCACTTTCAGAACAGGATGATGATGAAGAAGATTTCGAAGACGAAGATGATGATGAAGTTGCTCTTGGATTGAAGGTACAGCTATCAATGGGTTTCAAATTTATATTTTCTCAAATTTTGACATCCTTGCCGTCATTATAAGCATCATCAGAACAAACATCTTTCTCATTATCATCATAATCAACATTACTATCAACTTGGTCATCATGATCATCACAATCCACACAATCATCATCATTGTCATCATTGTCATCGTCACAATCATTGCCTTTATTACCATCACTATTATCATCATCACCATCACTTTCATAATCATCATCATCGTCGTCGTCATCATCATCGTCATCATCATCATTATCATCATCATCACTCTCGTCTCCTTTTCATCAATTTCCGCGGTACTTGCCTGTTTGAAGTAAAAAAATACGCATACATTGGGAATACACAACCTGAACGTTTATACATAACATATGTTTTGGTAACAGACTGTTGTTGTTAAGATATTTGACAAATATCTTACATACATTATATATAATGCACTGAAGATGAGTTATTTATAACTCGAAATAGCTATCTGCTAATTTATTGAATAAAATTTTTAAAACAATAAAATGTAAATTTTTCTGACATTAATAAATCAAAAAGAAATATTAAAAAGTTGAACAATGTTGTGCTGAATTTTTGAAATGTTGATATAACATGTATGTATGTATGTCTGTAAGTATGTATGTATGTATGTATGCATGTATGTATGTATGTATGTATGTATGTATGTATGTATGTATGTATGTATGTATGTATGTATGTATGTATGTATGTATGTATGTATGTATGTATGTATGTATGTATGTATGTATGTATGTATGTATGTATGTATGTATGTATGTATGTATGTATGTATGTATGTATGTATGTATGTATGTATGTATGTATGTATGTATGTATGTATGTATGTATGTATGTATGTATGTATGTATGTATGTATGTATGTATGTATGTATGTATGTATGTATGTATGTATGTATGTATGTATGTATGTATGTATGTATGTATGTATGTATGTATGTATGTATGTATGTATGTATGTATGTATGTATGTATGTATGTATGTATGTATGTATGTATGTATGTATGTATGTATGTATGTATGTATGTATGTATGTATGTATGTATGTATGTATGTATGTATGTATGTATGTATGTATGTTAAAACCAAAACATGATGAGTGACACTGAACCGTCAAACATCAAGTAACAAATGGATACTTTGATTTGTCGTTAATTGCACATGTCGGCATTCAGTTGGTTATTTTCAAGCACACAGACACGCAGGAACCGCTGCAACAAGCACGAAATGTGGTTAGTTGCGAAAAACTGTTCCCTGCTGTCGCCTGATCTGACGCTGATCATTTTGCATATTTCCATAAGAAATTTAAGGGTGTTGGGGTCCATCGGGCCAAGAACCTCGATGCATATTGGCAAGAATTCCATCTAGGGGAGGGCGTTCCCATATTTTTTCATTTTCTCGTCTGTATGTATGTATGTATGTATGTATTATGTTTTCGGCAGCCGGGGGGCGAAAACTCAGATCCGCTGCCAAAAAGAAACTCGTTGTTCCTAGGTTCAGGACAGAAAATTATGGACGGAGGTTTGGAATAAACTGCCCGATAATGTCGTTGATAGTATGGATGAAAGATATATAAATTCTCCATACCTTACCATACTATACCATTATTATTATTATCAAACACTTATAAAGCGCCTATTTATATTTTCTCAAATTTATGTATGTATGTATGTGTGAAGTTGTGACGATTGTGATGATAATGATTGCGCGATTGAAATATGCCGCCTGTATATTTTGTGAAATTGTGACGATTGTGATGATAATGATTGCGTCTTTGAGGCGTGCCGCCTATATATATCTATATATTTTACTAGACATTCTATGCATGTATATTTTGTTATTTGATACGCTATATATGCGACGCTGCTGTGCTGTATCGCTTTTCTGAGTATAGGAAAAGAGTATAGATAGGAGTATAGAATTTTCTATGATATAGAAAGCGTTATGTAGATAGGGCGGTAAAAACATATAAAAGGCCGCGAGTTGAGATATAGAGGGGGCGGGTCGTTTGTTATTTTATTTTAGGTTTTGTCTCTTGCTTGGTAGTTGTATTATTAATAGATTAATTTTGGATTTATCGTTTTGTTTTAATAAAGACAGAGGTTTGATTTGTATTATTTTGTTTGTTATTTTATTTCTTTTATTGAATAAAAGAAGTGTACACTCGAAGTTTGGCTCGGTTTAATTATTCTACCTAAAATAATGGATGTTGAAGAAGACTTGCTGATAGTTGACGAGGTCGGCGTCTCTAGTCAACAAGCAGGGCGCGAACAAACTTCCGCCCGGCCCGTGTTTTCAGACCCTGAGAGGGTCTATTGTAGAGTGGCGGATCCCGGCCAGGAAAGACTCCGCCGAAGCGAAGGCTCGGGTGGATATTCGTATGCGGACGCGGTTCGGGACCGCGTGGTGCGGAATTCGAATGTCGCCCGGCGAAAATCTACATATGTATGTATGTATGTATGTATGTATGCATGTATGTATGTATGTATGTGTGTATGTATGTATGTATGTATGTTAAAACCAAAACAACTTTATGTATGTATGTATGTATGTATGTATGTATGTATGTATGTATGTATGTATGTATGTATGTATGTATGTATGTATGTATGTATGTATGTATGTATGTATGTATGTATGTATGTATGTATGTATGTATGTATGTATGTATTTATGTATGTATGTTTTTTTGTTTTTTTTTAGAGGAGGAAAATACTTTATGTATTCCAAAATGTAATTCTTTGGATATGTCGGACTCGAGTAGAACCCATACCGACTAAAAACCTCCTCATCATCTGGCCCCTATTTCATTCGCTGGCCCGCCGTTAGGCATTACTACGCGAGGGGAGGATCATAGCAGTTCGCTAGTTCATCTGTTTTAGAGAAAGCTGCAACATTTGAATAACTACCATCAACTTTCTATTTTTAATTATTACTTTTCCTTAGCCTTTCTGTGCCCAACTTGTGGAGGATATCGGATGCAAACGCATCAGTTGCATCCCATGCAGTTTTTGATGAAAACATAGCTTTCGTAATACTCTCTGGCTGGATTCTCTGTTGGAGAACAGTTTCCAAAGTTTTTCCAGGCCTGTGGAAGCGAAAACACTTGAAGAACACGTGTTCCGCATCTTCATTTTCTCCTGGACAGGATGGACATTCTGGAGGAAAATCATGCCCAAAACGATAAAGGTATGCCCGAAAGCAACCATGCCCCGAAAGCATCTTCGTCAAGTAGTATAGTAGTTAACATCAACATGGGTTTGGTTTAGCCAGACATTTATTTGAGGTATAAGATGGTATGTCCACCTGCCAGTTGTTGCCGAGTCCCATTGCATTTGCCACCGATGTATGCTATACTGTCGCTCCTTTTTTCTGATTTCATCTTTGTTCAGAATAGTTGTTTTACCCCGTTGATATGAAAACTTTTTTTCTCTGGCCAGTTCCAAGAATGATAACACACCAGCAATAACACAAATTGCTTCTCCAGAAACCGTGCGAAAAGCGCAGGCAATTTTCAAAGCACTTCTTCGATAAACTGACGAGAGTTTTTTTTGCATGTCATGGGTTTTGAGTGCATCGGCCCAGACTGGAATCCCATATGTTAGAATCTATGTGACAACAGAAGACAGTAACACCCTCCTGTTCTGTTTTGGACCTCCCACATTAGGCATTAAGCATGACAAGGCTACCCTCACTTTAGTTGCTTTAGTGCAAACATGTTCAACTTGCTGTTTAAAATTAAGTCGACTATCAACCATCACCCCCAAGTACCGTTTGTAAGGCTGTGTCGTTATTTCCTGTTCTCCATGTGACAGCGTAACGGTTTCTGCTTGCCTTTTTCCTGTGATAAGTACTGCCTCCGTCTTGTGTTTTGCTCGTTCCAGGTAGACTGAATCCATCCATTCACTAAATTTTGCAAAAGAGGTTTTAAAAATATACTCTATTTCCTCAAGATGTTTCGCAGCGACAAACACGGCCACATCATTCGCATATGCCACCAAGCTAGCCTTGGCAGTTTCAACTTCAACAAGCCGTTATACATAGCATTCCAAAGGAGAGGTCCTAGTACTAATCCCTGGGGTACACCCCCGCAACATTGTATTGTTGTGGTCCTGTTTTTGTGTTGTACTTCAGTACTATTTCAGTGAAATAGCTTGCTACCATTCTTTGTAGGAATAATGGTACATCCAACTCTTCAAGAACATGCAAAATGCAGTCCCAGTTAGCAGAGTTAAAGGCATTTTAATGTCCAACGTGGCCACCAGACAGTATTTTGTCTCTCCTCTCTTCCTTGTTCTCGCAATGGCTTCCCTAGCTTTTTGAACTACAGCACCAATAGCATCTAACGTTGAACGGCCTTTCCGGAAACCGAACTGGTTGTCAGTCAATTGAGGATCCACTTTTTGTTCAATCATTTGGTGGATAATTCTTTTCAGTATTTTTCCAGTTGTGTCCAGCATACATAATAGGCAATAAGATGATGTTTCTCCCGGTGGCTTCTTCCTTTCGGGATGAGAACCAACCTCTGCTGCTTCCATCTATCTGGAAATAATACAAGCATTATAGACATCCAGGAATAATTCCGGTGCCTCTTTTATAGCTGTTTTCAAGGCATTGTTAAGAATTCCATTTAAGCCCGGGGCTTTATTATTTTTAATTCTGTTACAGGCTTTCATCAATTAAATTTTCGTGACTGGTGGAACATCAATAGCCTCCTATTGTTTTATGCAGTCATAGTTCCCATTTTGTTTAGGAAACAGGCTATGAACAATCTTTTTTAATAGTTGTGGGCATGTAGGCAAAGGCATTGGTTGTCCTTTTAAATGTAGCAAAACCGATTTGTATGGCCGGCCCCATGGATCCTTTTCTACTTCGTTGATGAGCTCCAACCAGCATTTTCTTTTACTACCTTTAATGGCCTTATTGAGTTCTAGGCGAGTCTTCTTGTACACTCCTTTCAATTCCAAGAAATTTGACTTTTTCCATGCATGTTGGGATGCTCTTCTCGCTTTGAGACACTCTTTCCGAAGAACATCTATGTTTGCATTCCACCAGTGAACTGATGATCCCTTGTCCACATAAAGCTTACGGGGCATACTCGCATCACAAGCTTCTACTAATCTTTATGTCAATTCCTCTGCATTCTTTTCAGCGTTTTGAGCAGCCAATGGTTCATGGTGTATGTATGTATTTATGTATGTATTTATGTATGTATGTATGTATGTATGTATGTATGTATGTATGTATGTATGTATGTATGAATGAACCCGTTTTGATGAACAAGCCATGGTTAGGCATGCAATCGTTTCCGAGTTCAACTTTTATCTATGTCCCTGGTCTCGCAGTCAGGTAAATTGTATGTATGTATGTATATATGTATGTATGTATATACGGGTGTATATATTTGTATGTTTATTGATATGCGTAAATTCTTTGGTTATTGGACAAATTAAGGTATTCTATATCTTATAGGCAGACTTATTTTATTGTTGTATTCAATATCGCTATGATTTATTGATTGGTTTTAAGATATAAGTAGATTGGCACTGTTTGTAAATGTTTATAATGATAACAGTAGTAGTGGTAAACTTATGTATGTATAAATATATATGTATGTGTATATATCTATATATATATGTATATATATATATATATATATATATATATATATATATATATGTTTATGCATATGTATATGTGTATCTATGATTTGTTTGTTTTTTTTTATAGAAATTGATTTTATTTTCTTTTTAACTATGTGTAAGGTGGCTATACTTGATAGGTTACTTGTTAACTTTTTATGGTCATCCTGTCTTCTTTTTTCCTTTGTATTGGAAACAAATAAAATGCATCGTATCGTATCGTATCGTATTGTATGTATGTATATATGTATGTATGTATGTATATATGTATGTATGTATGTATGTATGTATGTATGTATGTATGTATGTATGTATGTTAAAACCAAAACATGAAGAGTGACACTGAACCGTCAAACATCAAGTAACAAATGGATTAACACTTTGATTTGTCGTTAATTGCACATGTCGGCATTCAGTTGGATATTTTCAAGCACACAGACACGCAGGAACCGCTGCAACAAGCACGAAATGTGGTTAGTTGCGAAAAACAGTTCCCTGCTGTTGCCTGATCTGACGCTGATCATTTTGCATATTTCCTTAAGAAATTTAAGGGTGTTGGGGTCCATCGGGCCAAGAACCTCGATGCATATTGGCAAGAATTCCATCGAGGGGATGGCGTTCCCATATTTTTTCATTTTCTCGTCCGCTGCCCTAGCCGCGGCCAAACCGCATTCTTTACTTGTCAGGTTTACGTATCATTCGGCGTGGGTGCCAGGGACCGTAACATCCCACGCCAAACATTTGCCGGCTCTCCAAGGTATTAGCGTGCATCCGTCCGGGCGCCTACCATCATGCGCAGAAATGCCGGATGGTTCCTTGAGAACCGGGATTGTATGTATGTATGTATGTATGTATATATGTATGTATGTATGTATGTATGTATGTATGTATGTATGTATGTATGTATGTATGTATGTATGTTAAAACCAAAACATGATGAGTGACACTGAACCGTCAAACATCAAGTAACAAATGGATAAACACTTTGATTTGTCGTTAATTGCACATGTCGGCATTTAGTTGGATATTTTCAAGCACACAGACACGCAGGAACCGCTGCAACAAGCACGAAAAGTGGTTAGTTGCGAAAAACAGTTCCCTGCTGTCGCCTGATCTGACGCTGATCATTTTGCATATTTCCTTAAGAAATTTAAGGGTGTTGGGGTCCATCGGGTGTGCCTAAAAAACTCAGTTCTGATGCACCAACTCTAGGTATTCCAGGCAGCGCATGTGGCACCTGAAATAAACTTTGGCAGTGAAATTCGCATTTTTTAATGTTTAACTCTAAACCAATTGCAGCGGAGTTATGCTTCAAATATTCGTAGCTATCGGCCAGAGTTGGGCCGTCCGAAGCAATGCTGATATCATCCAGATAAGCGCAAACGAAAGTGGACGAAGCTTTCTCTAAGAGTGGATGAAGAGTTAGTGCGAACAGCAAAGGACCAAGGGGATCACCCTGCTGTACCCCCTCGGACGATTTTACAACCCAAGAGTGGTAGCCAAGGGAAGAGACTCTGCCATAGGCAGAATGGCAAAAATTATAGATATTGGGGCAAAAAAGTTTGACAGCCTCCAACATCGAGTCTCTTCTCAAGGCATTGAAGGCATTTTTAAAGTCCAGTTTCAGAAACCCCCATTGATCGGGGAGGTCGGTGACCAATCTTCGAACCGCATGAATAGCGGCCTCAGCGCCACCCTTAATCCCGACACCCAACTGAGTCGGGTAGAATTTGGTCTTGAGTTCGACCACAACCAGGGCCAAGGTATGTATGTATGTACGTATGTATGTATTTGTATGTATGTATGTATGTATGTATGTATGTATGTATGTATGTATGTATGTATGTATGTATGTATGTATGTATGTATATATGTATGTACCTATGTATGTAAGTATGTATATATCTAT